GGGACGATGTTTATAAGGCTTCTGAATCAGAAAACTCAGGAGGCTAAGTGTGATAGTAGTCACGAAGGCTATCTGATGAATTGAATCCAGTCAATCAGGATAACTATGTTTCATCTTCAGCGAACACGACGGCTTCCAAGTTGCTTTGCTTTGCCATCACTTCGCGGCTTTTGTGCACCTCATTGATATCATGTGGTAACCGAGTCCGAAATCAAGTCCTTGGTGTTGCAGCGTATATCAGCATTCCGACTGAACATCTCTCAAGTATGGAGTGTAATGTCCGCAGCATCGGATTCCCACAACATCGGTGCAGAAAACCTCGGATCTGCACATCTTGAGTTCGAGCTCGGAGTTGAACCAGACTGATGTCTTCTGATTACAACCTCAGAGGAGATTGATTATTGTCAACCCTCAAATTTAGCTCGGTCCAACTATTGTCATGGTCATATCTCAAATTAGACGGTGGAGGTTCGCCCGCTAAACTCACGAATGGGTAGAAAATGTGGCCTGAAGATTGTGGAAGTCTGTATATAGATCGCTCTGTGCACTCTTCAGATGCAACTGCGTTTCATATTGTCCCCAGCAAGGCCAGCGTTGTGATCAACAAATACTTCTTAATGAGATGTCCCTTTCAAGAGGTTAGACCAGGCCTCATAAGTTTGTACATTTGTACAAACTAGCAAAATTAGCTTAATTTGTACACGCTTCCAAAGTTGGTTTGTACATTTTGCATTAAGAGTTTTTCAATCCCATTACATCTCCACTTCCTCTGGAAAATACACTCTAGTGACAGATGCATTCAGCAGGTGCGAAACTCGTCCATCTCACATTTCAGAATGGAGAAATCGCTCTCCACATCCTTAATGTTCGCAAACAAAGTTGCCAATCATCCCAAAATCAGCTAAGATTATGGGTAGAAATAACCAGGCTTCATCTAAGGAAGATTTGATGAGACATGGTTATTTCTATAGTACGGTTATTTTGTTGACAAACTTACACACAATGAAGTCGATAATGTAAAGTTTGTGAAGGTCAAGGTGTTTGTTCTTGACCTTCTCAATGTACTCTCGCTCCACCACTTTGCAAGATGAGCTCGGAATGGATTGAGCACATTTTTCATGAATAGACTGGTGTGCATATGAACAAGTTTTGAAAGAATCACAGGTGGTGAATCTTTATGAGGTCACGGTTATTCTTGTCACGCTCCGCTTTGACACCCATGAGACGAGAAACAAACTTCATTGTATACACACCAATTTCCTTCAAGACTGAGATCCTTCCATCTTGCATCAGAAGCTCCATTGCATACATACCAATTTACTTCAAGATTGCCATCTTTCCATCTTGCGTCAGGAGCTCCATTGCATACATACCAATTTACTTCAAGATTGTCATCTTTCCATCTTGCGTCAGTAGCTCCATTGCATACATACCAATTTACTTCAAGACTGAGATCTTTTCATCTTGCGTCAAAAGCTAGTAGGAAGAGCTAGCAAACGATACTTGATCGCGAATCCGATCAACAATCATATCCGTTTGGATGTACATATTGTGGAGAGTTACAAACTACTAGCCATTGTTGTTCGTCATCTCTTGCTCTGCAATCTTGATGTCAAACATGGTCGTTAGAGTTGCGATCAAAGCTTGATTATCCTATCCTTGTTGTGCTATTAGGAGAGAGAATTGTTTTGCAGTAGTGCGAATGTCACGTTGATCGTATAATGGTTAGAGATACCGCATATGTGATTATCCACTACTCCTTTATTGACATGTGCAAATCGCGATGCTACTGCTCGTATACGCGACAATAGATCGACGATATCTCTTGAGAAAATGAATAACACGATTGAGATCAACGATTGGTTTTTTTGAACACTTGACATCCATACTAATAATAAGATTGCTCTAGCCATGCAAAAATACAGTCAAGGAGTACACAAAGTGGATCCATCCACCCCTAGTAATTACTTCAGCACATGATTTTGCGACAATGTCGATCTGATGAAGAGCGCACCATATGCAAAACACTTTGTTTTTAGCATGTTAGACAATATGAGTTACCCGATCAAAATGTCGTCCAATCATCGTGTTCTCACCATCAGATGACATGGCAATCAGTTTTTGACGCCATTTTAAATACAACGCGTCCATGAACTTGATAATCATGTTGAAAAAAGGTTATGGATGGAATGACGATCAAACAACAGAATGACGACAAGATGGAGATTCAGCAAAGATTTGTGATAAATTTGCAAACGCAAGTTAAAGAATGACTAAATCCGATGCGTGCTATCATCTCCAGCAAGAGAGAATGTCTAGACAAACTTATGTTTGATTATGTAGGCAATACGTTGTAGAAAAGCGGCAACTATAACAAAAACCTATTGCCCAACAATAGTATCATTCACGCCCGTCAGTTTAGACGTTTTGGTTCGATCCTTGGCATGCTGGATGATTTACGCTACTTGACAAAATGACATGCCTGTCAATACATGATCCATAGCCAAATTGTATGGCATCAAATTCTTGATGACCATACTTCCAGATTTTGCATTTTCAACACTGTTTAGCTTATTCACAAAGGGTTTCAAAGCGGTCTAATTCTCATTCTCTTGCTTGAGAGCAACCTTGCGAATATCATTTACAAGATCTTTGTCGTTGTCATCATTGTTATTCACTAAGTCCTCGTCGTCACGGAAGACAAGTTCTCCGATGATGGTCTCAACAATATCGAGATTGATTGTCAACGTGTTGCTGTACAAATTCATGTATCAATGAAGAATGTTTGTGATCTTGATTTTGTGATTGAAGAATACTTCTTATTTTTAAGATAAGAAGTATAACGACGTAAAATGCATCCATGATTTGCCATGTTGTGTCCAATGATGACTGTGATACTTGTGGCATAAGAACGGCGCTGCCCAATATTTGATATCTGATAGTTTTTAACACTTGCGTGATGAATTTGGACCAACTTCAATCTTATTTCAGATGTCAAAAACACTGATTTTACATCCGCATGATGTGACGTTGACTTGAGCATCCTTCGCAACCACTTTGACAGCGTATTCAATGTCATGCAATACCTGGAACATTGCAACAATCTTCTTGCTAGCCATAGATTCTCAAGGAATGTTTGACAATGAGATTCATAGTGATAACACAAGGTGTCTCTCTCCAAAATGAGGTACCCATGGAGAATATTTGTGATCTTCCTATATTTGCAAGATAACGGTTGCGATACTTGTGGCATAAGAACAACGCCGCTGAATACTAAATAACATATAGTTTCTTGCACTTCCGAGATGAATTTAGACCAATATTGTTTGTCAAAGGCGCAAAATTTACTTCGGCATGATGTGACATTGATTGGAGACCCTTTCATAATCACTTCAAGGGCCTATTCAATGTCATGTTACGTAAGTTGTAATGTAGAGAGTGCATGTAATCTGCGTGCGAGATGTATTACATGCGTACTTAGTTTGTACATAGGAAAGACTTTATTATATACAAATGTAAAATTATTTCCAGAAAATGTACAAACTTATGAGGTCTGGTTTAGACTAAAGATTTCCAACTTCACAATTCCTCTTCCGCTTGTCACGGGAATGAATGTTTTAAGTATTCCTCACATCTAAATATATGTTAATATGATGACTTTCCATGATACTCTTCGTTCTCACCATCATCACTTCTATAGGACCATTTTCTCGCAGTCTCGTACTTCAAGGGGTATCTATCTATTTATCTATCTAACTATAAACCATGTAAAGCGCAAATTGCTTACTAAACAGTATAGAGCGTTGAATGTACCCTTAAAGTTGTAGGTCTTTATTCTTACCCCTCTATTTCTCACTGCCTATAATTTTGTGGCGAAAAAATAGACATAGCACCTTATCTAGTTATGTACTAGAAGTACATGCCACAATATTCTCTCTGCTTTTTGTATCATGTACGTCACTAGTAAGGATTTTAAAAATCAATTCTAGATAAAAAAAGATCAATTAGAAGATTATATGATTTGAAAGAATTTTAGTGAGCCGCTAGTCACAACTTACTTTTCGCTATTCCACACTCACACCCAATTTTAAAAAATCCCTGGGTACTTTTCTTGCGCTCTCATTGGCTCGATGAAAAGCACTATTAAAAGGGAGCCGCTAGTCACCACCGCTAAGTTAGTAATTTAGAGCCGCACGTGCAGCCTTTAGACTAGCATAGGTTGCTCTGGTAAGTTCTTGGTAACGATCCATGATGATATTAGTGGTGTTTTGGACGCACTTTTCAACGATTTGAAAATTGGAGATGAGTGGTGAAAAGCGAAAAGTGACTGGCTACTCCTGAATTTTATGATACATTCAAACGGTTTGAACCTTACATTGTATGGATTGCAAAGAGTTAATTAACGATAGCATGCTGTAGCAAACAGTCTCTTATGGAAGTAGACTCGTATCGCATGAATGTACAAGATTAGTGCATGATATAACAGAAACGTAATAATGATGTCATATCATGATGTGAAAGAGAGATATCTATGTGCAATAGAAGAAAGTCAAGATAAAACTCAAACCCTGGTACTGAATACGAAGTGTGCAATTGTTAAAGACTAGTCGTATCTCAAATTTATTAAACCGAATATGGCAATCTAGTGATAATGTCATGTTGATAGTTTAGATAGAGCAGTTACGAAAATCAATATATGTTCATCGAGTTTACATCCATGTGACACAATTATGGAAGCCCCGCTTTTGCATTTTAATGAAAAGAAGAAAAACTCTCATTCCCTATCTGTTTTCAGAACTTGACGAGAATAATTTTAAAATTTTATAACAAGCAACTCATCTACTAGAATAATTCCGTTCACTATCAGTAACTGGATTAACTTGTTCTTAATTTGCATCAAATCAAAATTCCATGGTTTTCGAGAAAGAGCTTCGACGCTCCATGGCTGGCTCTGTAATCATGGTGACAAGTAAGTGAAGTTTGGCAAGGAGTGCATCAAGCGACGCTGGCTGGCTGGCAGGGGGCAGGGGCAGAGGGAACGGGGCACACCAGAGCACAAGAGACGAGGAGGGGGAGGATGCTGAAGGTCGAGACGACGAGAGTCAATGCAATTCCACCTTTGAATGCACGCCCACGCTCTGTCATGCTCACCGATCGATCGATCCTCGTAAGGACCCGGACACGAAGTTCCCAGTGAGGGAATCCGTGTGCAATTCGATTTCATTGCTTTCTTCGGTTTGCCGGTGGATTGATTCAGTGGTTGCAGGCCGAGGAGCAGCTGCGTGCCTCAGAGCTTAAGCCTGTGAAGCGACGCAGCTATGGCCAGCATTTTGTTTCAGGTCAGTGGCTGTGTTTGTCATTTGGGCTCGAGAGGAAGAGATTTTGGTAGCGTGGACTTTTGAGGGGAGAATTTGGGACTTTTGAAGCCTGGGATGGACGATTCAGGGTCGAGCCTTGGCAAAACTCGGTGATCGGATTTCTTCTGTGGGCAGAGTGAGAGATTCGGGATGGGTTGCGTGCGGCCACCAATTAGGGCAGCACTTTATAAAAATTAGGATCAAATGCCTGAGGACTCGATTCGTGGCCTCGTTCAGATGTAGATCTGTCCCGTCCCGTTTGGTGTTTTGGATGTCAAAGTTAACGCTTCGAATGCTTTCAGTTCGTTGAAGGCTTCTGGTCACTTTTGTTCTTGGATCGTTATTTATTGTCTCTCGCGCACTCTTGTTGGCGTCGAAAATTTTACACGAGCAGGCTTGTTTTTCGGGGGCCTTGGCAGGAAAGGGTATTAGGTTTCACTCTGGGAACTGCCTTTGGACTGGGTGCTTACGTTTATGAACAGAAGAAGTTCTGGCGATCGACCAGAGAGCTAGCAAATGTATATTCAGGAGGACAATTGCCCCCTCCCGCTGTTTATGTAAGTAGATTTGCAGTTTTTATTTATTTATTGGAGTTCCATATTGATTCAGCTGGAATGTGGGGTCTCAAATCATTATTTTGTTCATCATTCGAATTTTGTCTTTGTATTGAAAAGCAGGGATTATGTCAGAGTAGAATAGTCATACCTCTTTCCACCCCTCATGTCACTGAGACTAGAATAAAGTTGTTGAGAATCTCCAGTTCAGCATCACGTCTTTGGGTGGCAAAGGTAAATTGGTATAAGTGCGTTAATACACTGTCTGAGTGTCTATTCTTTATGAAGTCTTTTTCAGCACAGAGAATTGAATTCTGGAATAATCCCAAGCATATGACAATGAGAGCATATTCTGCGCGGAGGTGACATTTTGCAACTTGTTGAAGGATGACATCTTGCTCTGGCTGCTGTTTTGTGGGCAGGTTCCTGAGCCCATCTTTGGACGCCGGACCAAAGATCAATTGATACATGCCTGGAATATGGGTGTTGACCAAACTTTGGGCAAACTGGTAGCTGCATTGAGCGAAAGGGGGTGGTAATCGAGTTCTACGAGGAGCAAAAATCTATGTGATGGATGGGTGTCAATCTACGAGAAGCATTAGAGTTTAGCTCCATCTTGTGTTGGTGATTCCAGCTCGAGGGCTATTCACGGGGTATATTTATGTCATAGTGTCCAGATCACCTTCAGTGAAGAGTTTACAAATCTCATGCTATGTTGGCGAGGATGCTTCTTTGTACTTTACTTTCAACCATCATTGAGGAGTATGAGCCCTCCAAATGCGAGTCATGCAACAGCTGTCAAATTAATTCCCCAAAGGGGAGGACATCTTAAATTTTGCGAAAAACTTTCATTACAATAATTATCATGTGAATACGAACTTTATTGAGTTCGCGAATTTTTCTTCTGTATGTGCCTCAATCTGTTCTGAAGTCAACTGTGCTACGCATTGTGACCAGATGTTTCAACTTTCTGACTGCTGATGCTGGAGCAGATGCTACCAAAGTCCTAAGAAGAATATGGTCTTGTCAGGCGTGTTTGATGGTTGGAGGTTTAGGATGATGTACAATTCATGGTCTTGGTTCGAAGTCTTCGATTCTGAATTTCTTTCTCAAACGGTGGTGGAAACTGCTTTTTCTTTTCTATCGTTGACGACAACACTGTACCTGGAGCTGGGAATAACCATTATCAGCTTCAAAAGTTCGCACTCTCTCAATACTCTAATTTTGGAAGTTTATATCTTCTGTGTCTCCTAATCTGGTGTGTGCAGTCAGGACTGCAATTAGACGTGCCTGAGTTTGAACCGAAGCCTGGACGATTGGACCACTTCATAATGTTGCTCATTTCTCTCTTCTACCTGTTCCACTAAATTTGAAAAGCTTCTTTTTGGAAATAATTTCGGGTTGGACTCTCACCAGATTTTGGCATGTGTGCCTCAGGAATAGAAGTCTAAATGTCGCTGTCGGTCACTTCTTGGGTTTCTTAGCTTCCTTCCCAGGTTTCTTGACTTCCTTGCCACCTTTTTTCGTCTTTTCCTTCGGTTCTTCAGGTGGTGGTGGAGGAGGGGGAGGTGGAGTAGGGGGTCTCTCATCCACGCCAGTCCCTTCCAAAGTTAGTCGAACTCCTCTACCGAGGCGGATTTGCACGTATATTACCTGACTGTAGAACCCAATGTCGAATGGTGCAAATGAGATTGTCACGATCTGCCTGTTCCAGTGGAATTGAATTCCGAGGCTTTCTGTCAATTCCAGATCTCTTCGACCGCGAATCCTACCTCTCTCCGGATTAGCAGACCATATAATGGGCCAAACTTTGTCCAGTCCTTGGGCATCCTCCTGTATACACCGAATTCCAGAGTTTTAAGATTCTTCGCAAGAAGAACCTTGCGGGTAAGTACATACAATTGAAACTTTCTGTATCACCTTTCTTTTGAAGCAATTGATAATGCCCTCTCTTTAATACCTGAATGTGGATATTGGCTCTTGTGCAAGCTTCAATTATCTGAAGAGAGCGCAGTGTAGTAGCAAACAATTCCTCACTTATTTGTAATCCGACGAAGGTCATTAATTCCTGTCAAATAGTTCTCCCTTTTTTTACTTTCTTTGCTCTAGTTCTGGACCCGAATATGGACCTCGAGTAATAATATGACCAAGTACTCACCCATCGAGGTGGTATACCCCTGGCTGCAAGCTCCACAGTTTCCAGATGAAATTTCTCGGTTACTATTCGCCAGTCTGCATCTGGAAGACATGGATTTGCCAAGCTGAAGTCCATAACCTGGGTATCTGTTCCATTTACCACATCGCCCAGGCAAACTTTATCCTGCATAAGTCTCACCTCTGGGAAGAGTAGTTCACCGTGTAGCGGAAGAAGCTGCATTGTAGAGCCAATTCGGTCGTCATGTACAAAGCGACTTTTCTTCTCCTACTTCTGGTATGTGTAAATGTACATGAAGCGTAACATCTTTGCTTCACTTTCCATGGTAGCCGATTCTCCCGCGTGTTACGGTTTCTCGAGAGAATGTGAATTACGACTACTACAACTCTACCTGGTCCTCCACCCAACCAGTCTGCACGTTGCCCTTGCCGCATGAAAAAAAAGTAAACAGTTGTGCCTGTACGTGTGTACAACTGCGACTGTTATGACGAGTTTGGTTGAATTCAAGTCTTCGGGTTTGATGAGTGTGTGTACGTACCTGGTCATGTCGATCAGTGAAGTAAAGACGGATGTGAACATCGAAAATCACATCTGGTGGATTCAATTTGCACTCGTCAACTGCTGGCTGGAAAGTAATGTTGAATTGCAGAGTCCTGCCGCTCTCAAGTTCATAGGTTGGGCCATCTCCGTCAAATATGGACATGCGCTGTACCGACTTCTGGCTTCCGACCGGCTTGACAACACCCTTTCTAGTGTTCATAATAACAAATGGTTCGGGAATCTCTAGCATGGTAAATCTGATGGGGTGAGGGTACTCATTGGTGAGGTAAAGAGCTTGAGTATCAGATCGCAGTTCAGGAGGATCATTCCCAAAGCAGCGAAATGACAGTCTCTCGTGGAGCATGTCATCAAAGTTGGTTTTCAGCCTGCAGCAGTTGAAGGACGCAACTCCAGATATTAGACTCCGACAGCACGAGAAAAGTATGTAAGTAGTGATTTCTAAAATATCGATCGATCACTTTATCTGGCATCAACTGTTGGTTCTTTTATTTCGTTCTGCATTTCAATCCTGCATCTTTAGCACGACTTTAATTTCGTGCATTGGAGATTCAAGACATCTTCACTGCAACCATTCAGGTGATGGATGAATGTAGTCAATCCGATTCTCTGTGTGTTGCGTAGACGGACCTTGGTTTCAGAACAATAGCTTCTAACGAGACTCGCAAGGGCCTGATGGCTTCAAAGTTGAAAAACTTCTTGGCATGCTTTGTGGCCATGACCTCGTCCAGAAAGACGTCAGGTTTTTTCATCCATTCATTATACGCTCTATCATAAATCTCATCCTGTTCATCCTGAGGCTCAAAATCATCCATATCGAAATTCACGGACCGCCCTGTTGAAACTCTTCTCTGTCTTGTGGACCTCCTTTGCATATCAAACTGGAACTTGGGTTCGTCGCCCTCCTCTTCTGATTCGTACGCTACATCATGCACTTTAGAGTAGGCTCTCTCCGTCCGAGCACTGGTTCCTGAGTATAATCAAAGACCTTGGTTTGGTACAAATCGTTTTCCAGAGATTCTGAATTGCTACAAACGACTCTGAGAACTAGTCGGGTGTCTGGACATGAACTATTGATCATTACAAAAGGCATGTACAATGTAAGCTCCGGGTGTCTTTCTCACCGGTAAGTCTAGAGCGAATATTGCAACTGAGCAGAGGAGTTGAACTTGCCTTCCAACTTGCCTTCTTCACGATTACCTCCACCTGAAGGCCACGCATCTTGGGCCGAAAGATCAGAGGATCCGTCCTCAACGTTTTGTAAGTAAGCATTGATTCTTGCTCTGGATAGTTCCTTTTTGGTTAGACTTTTCTTCGGTGGTCGGAAACCATCTTCTTCTGATCCAGAATTAGAGGCCTCAGAGCAGTGATATCTTGAGAGTCTTCTGGGTTTCGTGCCATCTTCGTTGAAGTTCAGAGCGAGTATCTCTGGATCAGCTGGATCCACAATGGAAGTTTTGTGGGCCAAGGTGTGCACGAATTTATCATCCTTTTTGGAATGGAAAGTCAGGACGTGCTCACAGACGTGCTTCTTCTCAGGCCTGCGAAATGTGTATTGCTCGTCGGGTCGATCAGAGATCTTATCAAACGCAAATTGGGTGGAACGCCTCCGCTCACAGGTGCGTCCATCAAAAAGCCTGCAATAAGCAGCATAGATGTAGGAGTACAGACCCTCCTCATTTGGAGTAAAGCTGATCTTGAAAGGCATACTGCTATGCCCCAGTATCACCTGTTTTCCAAGCACAAAGGGTTCCGTGAATATAACGTACATGTCCAGAGTAAGAGATTTTGTGCATAGCTGAAAAATATGAGCTATCATTTCAGACTTTGAGCCCGATACTTCAAGTTCGTGACATGTCACTCACGGCAAACCTTCAAATTGCTGAAATTGTTCTCTGGAGAGAACTTTGTAGATTTGGGGAAGAAGTCTTCGAAGGGAGTAGTGAAGGATTCACTTTCTGGCTGCAGACATGGCTTGCATTGTGTAAGGTGTGTGAATTAAATACATTTGCAGGTGCTGGGTCCGAAGAAGCATTTGATGAATGCTTCGGATGAAGGAGCGAACCGTGAACGTCAACCTTCGATGAGCCACAACGATTCATCGTCTGCTGTGAACGAGTCTGGATTCCCAACCTTGATGGATGGAAATCCTTCCTGTAGAAGTTTTTCGACAATCTTACATCTTTGTTTCCATGGAGATCTGAAACACTTTGGGCGGGTCAAACTGGACAGGGAAGTCTTTGAAAAGGCACCTGTGTTGGAGGATAGATGGAGAACGCATTGTCGTCGGAGTCCTCAAGATTTCGCAGATAATCTCTAAACACAACGTGCACTTGTTGATCATACACGATTCCAATGTGCTCCTTTGTGGTTACATGTACTGTTGGATCCTCCTCATCCCAAGCTTGCTTTTCTGTCAAGAGTGCATGCGTGAGCACGTCCTCTTCAATCACAAACTGCATGGTTACCAACTTGCCCTCAAGACTTCTCTGCCTTTTCAATTCCCACCGCAGTTCGATATGAAAAGGACACTGATTATACACCCAAATCTGCTTCTCCTCTGTATTGCACCCATGAGGGGTGGGCTGCCATGCAACCACAATTTCTCCTTCATTTGGAGGCTGCTGTAATCCTGTGGGTTCCAGCCAGTTTCTTCTAGCCACAAGAGGTGTGCCTACTATTTGGATCTCGAGCGGAATTTCGACTGGCTTCAGTCTACCCACCTGCAAAACGTCATCATGTTCCTGATATTAAGAGAAACGTATTTCCTCCTGTAGTGGACATTGTTGTTATTACTTGGAGGTGGGGTCTTGTGCATGGCCTTATGATCAGTTGTACGGGAAAATGGGAAAGGCTTCGGAGGTTGTGTAATACGTCAGATTGGATCTGTGATAGAGATGAAAGCATGCTTGTCATTGCCACAGGATAGCTAGCTGACAGACCTTTGAGGTGAGAATGTCGATGTAATCACCGGGCAAATTGCTGAAGCACACAACCTCGCAAGACCAGTCACCCCAAGGTTTCAGAATGCCCGAGTACGCGGGATAGCAAAGGAATGCGACGGTATGACCTTCTTTGATAAGAGCCTCGTGCATTGCACCTTCGGCTCTTCTCCACAACATCTGCTTTCCCGGTTGACTGAAGTACTTCAAATGGGTGTCGGAGAGATCTGTCAACGGAGGATGCTGTCTCGCCTTGTTCTTCATGGCAGATTGAAATGGATCTCTCCTGTTTGGTATTAAATACGACAGCCTCTCCGTCAGGGACGATATGACCCATGTTTCATCCCGCACCAGTGAAGCCAGAGGCTCGGAATGGTAGTGTCCGATGGACAGGTTGATCGTGGTTTCGATGGGAGAATGGTTTCGCGCCACCAGCTTCAAGCAATGGGCTCGCCCCAGCTCTCGCCTCCGACCAAAATCCAGACAGGGAACCGGGGGGTCCACCCAGTTGTCGGGATCTTCCTCCTCCACGGGGTTCCCCAGAGCATCCTGCTGGCGCTTGAGAAGAATTCTCTCATGAGCAACCTTCCTGCCCCGTTTCTGGTGGCCGTCCTCTCTGTCCGGGCGGAAGACGTAGTAACTTATACGGACATCGACGATGATGGCCTTGAGTTGGAGCCCCAAGGGGCAGATCATCTTAAAAACATTGCAGATGAGCACGGTGTCGAGCGGTCCGAGCTTCCGGGGTATAAGCTTGAACTTCAACTGCCACTCCAGCCTCGGGGGGATCTCACCTCTTTGAGGCCTCACCTCCACGTCCAGGTCTTCCGGCTCGCATCCGACTCTGTCCCTGGGCGGCCAGTTGTAGCATGCAGGCAAGGCCTTCATGTTTCGGATCACAATGTCGAGGTCGATAGGGATGTTGATGAACTTGGTGCGCAAGTCCACGAAACAAGGAATCAAACAAGCTTCAGGGCTGTCGATGTGGGCACGAGCCACCGCGTATTGTGTGGGTGACAACCCACCAGATATCTCGCACACTATGGCCAAGCGCATGAACCCACAGATTGTGCCAGTCAGAGTGACTTTCACTCTCACGGAGTTGTTTCCACCTTTGGGAATCTGTCCCTCGGACGGCTCGAAGATGAGTGTCTGCAGAAGGTCTTCTTCGTAAGATGCGTAATCCTTGCCCGCTCTGACGATCGGAGGCCCTCCAGGTCCGTAGACTTTGGCTCGAGCCCCGAGGTTACCCATCTGCTCCAGAAACGGTTTTTTCACAGCAGGTGCACCTGGAGATGGGTCCTTCCTCTTATCGTCGTCACCGTGGACTATGCCTGGGGTCATTTCGGCGCTTGCCAGGTGTAAGGATGTATCCACGAATGGTCTGGTTGTGGAGCTCCCAGTTTGATCAGGCCGTGAGTTCGGATCTGCAGCTGCCAGAGTTGGAATCTCTGAAGTTGCGAGAGGCTGAGCAAAGCTAACTGCAGTTGAGTGTGTCGGAGCATGAGCTTTGAGAGAACCGTGCAGATCCGTGGTGGGCATCGAGATCGAGGCTTTGGCCGGTTGCAGAGCGTGGCCTGCTGCTGCTTGCAAACCTGGGATGATTTTCTGGTCACCGAGAGCTGTGATTCCTTTCAGGATGCTGGATGTCAGAACCCCCGGAGGCAAGCGGCCAGTCTTCAGTGGAGGTAATGTGGACTTGGGACAGTCCGTGTCTCGTTGCTGCAGTAATTTCGTTGGAGGTAGTTTCGGATCGGTGATGCCATCGTTGAACACTTGTAAGCATTCACCGAATGCCGAGGAAATCCAAGCCCTTTCCTGAGGTTCTGTTAGCATGTCCGCCGACACCTCTCTGTCTTTCGGCCACTTCTTTGGGCCCTCTGGTGGTGGTTTTCGGAAAGGGCAAACAGGCTTCTTCGTTAGCTCTTCCTCCTCTTCGGAAGGCAAAAGGGGCTGTGCTTCAGGAGGAGAAGTCGAGGACGGTTGCGAGAAGGTTACAGATGGTAGTTTCTGAATCGTATCCGGTGGAATGGATTCTGGCACTGATTGAGCTGTCAGTGGAGTCTGTTGAAGAGGTTGCGGTACTGCAGACTGGATAGGATCTGAAGGTGGGACGGATGAGATGGGAGCCTTCTGAGCTTGGTCGAAGATGGTGCACCCAACGGGAATCTTGGAGTTGGGAGACTGTGGATTTATTTGAGAATCTTCTTCCGATGGATCACTTCGTGGAACTTGGGAGTCAGGGGTTGAAAAAATCTTGAATGTCGCAGGAGAGTCTGCGCTCTTGTTCGTTATCACTATCTCGAGGGTGTAAGTAGAGTCCCGCTGCCAACGTCCACAGCGTTCGAACGTCAGTGTCTGAGCAGTGCCAACCATCTTGGACCAGCTACTCAAATCATCATATTCACATGAAGGAGACCGCTTTCAGGGATATCTAGAAAGTAGAATACTTGAGCTGAACAGGAGGAACTTTGAGTTTGGAGCTTGCAAGATCTATTCACCTGACACAAGCCGAAGTCTACCACACACGGGGTGATGATGACGTTGGGTCCGCTGACGTGACCTTCTACTTTGAGCACGAGAGGCAGTTTTCCTTTGTGATAAGGGCTCTCCACCAGGCAATGAAACACCAGCTCGATTCTGCCGACCTTGTTGGCCTTCATTGTCACCTGTATTTTCCTGGAACTGTTGCCAGCAATTTTGCCGGTGACTGGGAAAACGTAGGCTGAATTTTTTACCACACCGTAAGGGGTTTTGTGGACTTCCCAAGTGAAAATGACTTCAACCGGGCTCTCGTTGATCATCTCGATCTCCTCGATACGAATCTGGCCAAGCGTAAGGATACCAGAGAACTGAAGTAAGGAAGGAGCAAATCGAACATTGAAATGGGTACCCGATCCAGCCAAGTCTATCTCGATCATCCTGAATATTGTTCCACCATTCTCCACCTGTGACACATGGAAGATGTTCTCGATGCAGGATGACACGGTATTCATATCGTGCTGATTAAGGATTTGGCCGCTGCACTCGAATGCACTGTTGTCGATTCCCCACAGAACTCGGTAGGGCCAGTTCTGTTCAGCATAGTGGTTGGCCTTGATGTATTCTGCATTCCTAAGACCCTCCCTGAAATCTTTCCAGACGTCCGACCCAAGGGGCATAGGAGCCCTCGTGTCAACATACAAAGTTGCAACCTGGTGATAGTTTGCCAAATCTGAAGGGGTGAATTTGAATCTGATCGGAGATTCTGACTCCACAGCAAAGACGCCGAAGCCTGGGTCTGCCACAAACACCAATAAATTCTCGATGGGAATGTCCCGTCCCATCGTGAGACATTCAGGATCGGTCTCCTCGTTCACTTTCAAATGCTTCGATTGCATACGCCAAAAGAACCTGCACCAACAATAATCTTTCAGTGAAACTGAGTCGGAACTCGTTAATACTAAATCTTCATACCACAGACGTGCTTTCTCAAAGAAGATTGTAAACAACTGAAAACCAGCTCTCAAACTGTGAGTTTGTGGCTGTGATTGGACATTTTTAGCGAGTACAGCTATCTCCATACTCGGATTCCTCGAGTAGTCTTCATTGCCGTCTTTACAACTTTTTCCAACTGTGATGGACTGCACAGAAGATGCTTCTTGCTGGATATTCAAATTTGCATTTGAATTTGCATCTGTGCTCCATTAAGAAGCAAAGGGAAGGCAACAACTAAAGCAATACACAATCGTAGTTCTGTGAAGCTGTTTAAATCGTGAGATCATGAAGCCTGCACATAAATTGGGCCACAAATTTCTACATCTGAGGAGGGAAAAAAGAAGAAGATTACCTTACAGGTAGTCGTGTATGGCTCTTAACTGTAACTTCTTTCGAAACCATGTGAGACACGGTGACCTGGCCAAACGCGATGCCCAATTCTCGCTGGCCTGGTCTGAATTCCATCCCTTCAAACCTCTGCAAGTTTAGTCTAAGGTCTATTGCAGTGGCTTTAAACTTAATCTCCCAGTGCAAATTGGTCCCTGTCATAAGACGAACATAAGTGTAGAAGGTCCCCGAGTGTCGAGGTCGAAAAAGCATAATAAACTCCTGTTTTGAGTCGGTTGTCGTGGTGAACGAGTAGGGGTACAAGACGAACGGAGGAATATAGAATATGTTGTTGTTATCGTAGTAGCTTTCGAGATCATCGTATCGAGGGTCTGGTTGCACGCATGAGTTAACGACATCCGAGTCCATAACATTTGTCAGTGGCAACCAGTGGAAGTTAGCTCCAGCTCCCTTGCTCGTCAGGGTGTAAGAGTAAGAAATCGCATGTCCGGCCAGGCAGAGACCCATATCAACAAATGTTGGAAGAACCACCACGGGAAGTGGATTGATCGCCAACAAGGGGATCGTTACGTGATCCATCTCTGTTTTCACTTCAACCTGATCCTCGTAGCACCACACAGTAGGAGGTTGATAAATCACATCGAAGTCGCATTTATCACCAGACACCAATGTTTTCCCTTGAAATGGATTTTCGGACGAAGTGATAGAGTACTGCAAAGTACCAGGCTTGATTACCCTGTCGTCATGCGTCAAGGTGAGGTCAGACTTCTGTTCCTTCTAACAGGTAGCAAATTGCGAGGTTATTGTACGACTTACTAATGTGCGTTATCGGAAAAGTCCACATTGGCATAAATTCGGTTATCTGATGTACCAGTGTTTGTCCTTGACTATTCATAGCTGGCATGCAAAGACCGAGTGACTATCAAACGCCTCATGGAATTCCATACTGATGGTTTGCAATTCTAGTATAAGAATCACAGGGGCAGACAGATGGACGAACTTCATGTTCAAAATCGTTTCCCATATCTGGATGCTTTCTCAAGGACAAGACGACACGAAGAAGTGTCATGCTGCAGTCAAGTGTGGCCTTTAGTATGTACTTTGTGAAATCAGGCCCACAGCATTCAAAGATGGTTCAGAAAAATACAATAGCTACTGATTCTGAGCTATATTCGGATGTCCGCACTAGCTACACTAGACTTCAGCCAAGAGAAACTGTGGAGAGTGTAGAACCTGATTCGCTGGCTCCAAGGGCTCAAATTGAAAATGCGCAAGTGTTGAACATACGTTTTTCCAGGTTCTGCATTTGGTCAGCTCAAGAATCAACAAATGATCCACAAGCACATAATAAACTATGAAATCGCAAGTCTTTACGGACATTCGTTTTCAGCACAGAGCAAATCCAAGGAATTTCAGATGTAAGTATGAAGCAGTTTTGTTCCTAGTTGTATGCACATTCCCACATACTAGAGGTGATAATGATGAAGTTGACCATGATCACAAGAGGTGAACTGGATCACAACAAGACATATCTGCTCTCACCTTCGCTAGAATCACAAGTATCATGTCATAGTATTCTTAATCTACAAAATGGTGTATCGAAGCAATACCGACCTCACTAGCTCCCCTTTCAAAACAGCACTGCATCAACCTCATATAGTTGTTGAAGCAAGCTCACCAAATCCATCAAAGTACGCCACGGGAGGATCAAGTAGCACATAATCTTTACCCTTAGGGGTATCTTCCAGTCGAAAAATTCTCAAAGCCTGAGGTCATGCACGACAAGTATATTTACCTCAACTTTACAAAGACTGGGCCGGGTTCTAACTAGTTTACGAATGAACAGAAATGTACAGGTGCAGAAAATGGTCATAGTTAAGCAGGTGGATGAATGATCACCTTTATGTGCTTCGGATTCTCGGAGGCATACCGAGGATTCTGTAAGTACGTAATATGTGTGTGTAATCTGTCCCATAGAATTCCCGCCTGCAAAGCTTGGATGACGAAAGCAGAAAGTCTTTGTCAACAGGTTACCTTGAAATCATGGAAGAAAACTCGCAGGAATGTCAATCCACTCGTGAGACTTGATGAAGCAATCATGAATCAACTTCTGCCAGTGTTATGTTACATAAGAAGAGCTGAAATTAATCATACACCTTTCACTGCACTGAATTAGCAAATCCATATGGCAACTCAGGCCCCAGGAAACATTGCAAGGTTCAAGATAGTCAAAGCGACGAATGATGCTTCGAGATTCACCCTTCCATGCAGTTGACGGGCCATTCTGTGATTCATTTGATCGATCGTGTACGTCTTGACGAAGTTTCTCCAGTCATCACCGGGTCTGCCTCGGTCTTTCAACAAGACCGTCCTGAGCCTACTCGGACTATACATCGTGTCACAAAACTTGTCCCATTTGACAGATTTTCTGGGCAAAGGTGTACTCATCATCACCCTTTGAGCTTCTAGTTTCTCACTGAACGCTTTAGCCTTTCTTCGCTGCTCTTCAAGAGCCTGAGACAGAAAAAGCTCTAGAACTCTTAGCAGGAATGAACCCAAAGGTCCAGCTATGCACATTGAATCGGAGGAAGCAATGGGATAAGACAGGGAGGAGATTGGAAGCAGGCTGAAAACTCACCAGCCTAGCCTGCTTTTCTTCTGTTGTTTCCTGTCGCTCGAGGAAAGGGTAGCCCTCGGCATCGAGGAAAATATTGCCGTCCTCGTTGAACTGAAATCGTCCAGGTATGGGATTCCCTTTCTTGTCCAAGATTTTATCGCCCACGATGTCGAACATGTTGAGCCCTGGATAGGGATTGCCATCTTCGCCCATCATCACTTTGCCATCCGCATCGTACATGTAGACCTTATCGGGGTCTGGGACAAATTCTTGGATCATGGGTGCTTCTTCAGGTGCTGCCTGAAGGGCTTGGACAGTCTTTCGTTTTCCTGCCTCTTTCTCGTCTTTAGGAGGAGCAGATTTTGAGAGCTTTCCGTCTGCTGTGCCTTGAGTGGCTTTTGGATCTGTCTTCACAGCTTTTCCTGCGGTGGGTTCGACCTTGACAGCAGCAGCTGCGGCCGATGCTGCTGGCGCTGCTGCCTTGGAGGCAGATTTGGGGTCAGCTTTGGCTCCATCTAGTTTCTGACCTTTCGGGTCACCTTTGCTTGCATCGATCTTCGGGGCCTTTGCATCTTTAGAAGGGCTCTTGTTGTTGGGCTCGCTCTCTAGTTTCTTACCTTTTCCCTTGGCATCGGCCATTGCTCCTCAAACCTCGGTAATCCCCACACGAGGATGGGTACTTGTAATCAGAACAAAATGTGAACCCGAAGAAAAGAAACAACTCGTCCTCGCTCTCTACTTTCAAGCTCATGGATCGAGCAATGAGGCCGACTAGTGACTACATTTTTGCCGATTGCCAGACTTGAAGTTCAAATTTTGATTTAAAAAGAAAGAGCCCACTTCACAACTAAAATCAAGAATGCTCTGCAATCGGCCAAATCAGCCGATGTCACTCTCGAGGTTTCATAAGAAGGTGGCGCAGCTGGGACTGAAGTGCTCCAGACCAAGCCCGGCTAACAAGCTCCCAAGCATCCAATTGAAAAAGTAGCAAGCAGCTTCAATGTATTCTCCTCTCATAACCGTGACACTTCACAGTGTGATCCAGGATACCGATGCTGACATGTTCGCAGCATGAAACATTTAATTGAATGAACCCCTTGGTTCTTCAGCCTACCATCATATCAACTCTTTCAGGTTAGATATTCGTGAAGAGGAAGGAGGACTAACTTCTTCCAATGGTGAAAGAATTCCTCGAAACTACGGAGGGAGCATGAAGGAGTTTCCTAGTATGGCACCGAGGGCCCGCCTTCACTGGCTCGTGGTCCAAAAAGAACCAAACGGCAGACGCCTGCTCTGGATTTGGTAGCGGGCATTGCGAAGCTCTGGAGCAAGCAAGCGTCGATGGGCTTTCAACAGAATGGACTGACTTCCACATCCGGTCACCTCGCACAACCGGTTGGTTACTCCAACTGACACCGGACGATTGTGGGCAATTTCAAGAAGTGGGCATTCATTCTCTCGCCGCACGTCACTTCTGCCTCTCCCTCTCAGCAGACGACGAGCAAATTTGCGTGTAATCCGATCGAAGTTCCAACGAAGCTCGGATGGTCCAACGTCGGGAGCTCAGATGAGTTCCAAAGTGTTGCGTTATGGCAGGCAGGCAAATTCTGAATGTTGGGAGATTGAGCGGCGATGGGGACCTGGAAATGTCTGCTGAACTCGAGGGTGACAGAGTTTGTCTGTAGACTGTGTGTATCTACGGCTATTGCTCAGAGCGGGCGGGATTTGAGATCGATGCTTTTACGAGACTCGCGTACTGTCACAATGCAGTCTTAGCTGTTCGATGATGGTAACTTAAAGTCAGTAGGACTTCCAATATGCTGAAATGGTGACACACTGGTTTGTCTGCGGCCGATCCAAAACTGAAACTGTCGAGAGTTGAGCCACAAGGGGCGGCGTATGAGGGTGCAGGAATCGAAGCGATTACGGATGCCTTGACATCGTCTCAGAATTTCCGATAAAAGGGGAATGAGTTGAGCGCTTTGCACACAAAAGGCTCGGCGATGTCGATTTCGGTGCATGGCAATGCCAAACTCATCTATGAGTAGGAAGCTGAACTTTCAGCTTTATTGAAAGTCTACCAACTTTTGGTCAAGTTTGCCATCGCAGGCACCTTATTTAAGTTCTTCATTGCCCTCAAAGAACATTGAGACGAAAATACTTCAAATTCTCCTGATGCGATTGAAACACTTCAGAAACGGTCTCGTGTCTCACATTCTTTAAACTGTAGATATGCCGAGCTTCTCCAACCACAACGACAAAGAACTCTGAAGCCAAAGTCTATGATGGATTTCAGGTCATGTACTTTCCCGTATCCTAACATGAGATTCACACGGATTATTTGTCTTGCAGGTTTGGGTTTGGGTATCCGGGAACGCCTCTGCACTACGTGTCTCATCACTCAGCGCTGGGTATTTGTGGCAACGCCCTCATGTTCTACTCGCTGTCAGGCGGGCAGAACAGACATCTCATGTGGGGCCCAGGATATGGAATTTCTGTTACTGCCTACAGCCCTTGCTTGGATTTCATTGCATATGCATTAAAGGTTCGTTCACCATTCATGTTTTACTACTTCCACCAGCCTTTGGCGTTCTGTCATCACTGGAATTGGTCTCTCATAAGAACGACAAGTTAACTACTTCCCAGCTGCAGTTGAATAGAATCAGATCGCTCCATGTCTTCCACATTGCATTCATTACATAGGCAGTTTATTTTCCCAGCTGAGCTCTTCATTTCCCAGTTCTGCCTATCCGAAGCACTGACAGTGAAGTTCAAATGAACCAACAGGATTTGAAGCCTGTCGTGCACATATATGATTGCAGTTCCAACTCTGAAGTGGCCCAGCTCTCAGGTTCTGCTTCTCCCTTGATGGTACGTCACTAGTATTGTGAGGCCGTTGCTTGCTCTAGGGACATTGCCACTAAAAAGGAGCTGCTTGCGGGCATGACTGCAGACCTCGCTGAAGTGGAGGTCACATGCTTGGCGTTCTCGGTTGATGGCTCTCGTCTGGTCACGGCCTCCAGTGAACCTGACTTCAAGCTGGTCAGTAAGTCAATTTCTGTTTCAAAAGATTCACAAACGTTCTCCTTTACGAGCTTCATAGATTTCTCTGCACCTCTTTAGATTCAGAACCTTACACTCGCACATTTGGGATAAAGATATTGTGGGATATAGACAAGGAGAAAAGGACAGTAACGAAGCTTATAGGAGATCAGACCCAGTGGTGTCCTCGAAATGTAAGCTTCAGCCCAGTCTCGGCTGATCGTGTCTGCATCAGCGGAAACGGCAACCTAGCCTTGTGGACATATCACAGAAGTTTCCATGTATACATCCGTCCCTCTCATTGCGACTTTGTGGTCTGTGTAGGCTTCAGTGATTACGTGATTCTGAATTCAGAAACAGTTGGAAAATTTCTTCACTGCCTCGAGCTTTGCAAGTTTGTTCAACAGTCAGTCGAGGGACATTAAAGTTTTGTGGGTTTTTGAAGATAGATAGACGACTTCTTTGTCCGTGGACAGAAGGAAGCATTTCAATTTTACTAAATAATTTGTACTGCACACCTGTATACAACAGAGAGTCTTCTTTACTGGAAAACAGCTCCTTGCTGGCTCCTGTGTGCCCGAGAGTCATACCTGGGCAACTCACAGTGACATCATTTACGTGGGGTGTCAAGAAGGGGAGCTGCTATCTTTCAACGTGAAGCCTCCTGAGCCACCAAAGCTTGTGGTCTCTGCTTCTAAAGAAAAGGAGACAAAGGGGCGCCGGGCAGCTGAGAAGGATACTAAAGACAAAGAAGAAATTGTTGAGGTGAAGGTGAAAGATCTTGAGCCCAAGTGGCAACATTTAATCACCCTTGACGATCCGGGAGGACCGGTTACCCATGTTTGCGCTCGAGATGGACACCTTGTCGTTGTTGGAGATGGTGGCCTTATGCGATGGGTTACAGTGCCCAGGGAGCCTGTTGAGAAGAAAAAGAAAGAGGGAGGAAAGAAGGCCAAGAAGAAGAGGAAAAGGATGAAGAGAGATGGAAAAGAAGACAAATCCAAAGGAGATGAGAGTGAAGATCTCAAAAGCGATGACAGTGCAGTTGACAAAGAAGCTCGTGTGGTTTGTGAACTGGCCTTGAACGTGCCCGAGGTCAAAAGCATGGAGTACAGAGAAGATGGTCTTCAGCTACTGATTGGAGCTTCAAATGGACTGATAGCAACTGTGCGAGTAAATCAACAGATTCTGGAACCACAGCTGAGTGCAACATCTCCGGATCTCCTGCCGACTCTAACAAGCATGGAGAGAGGGGCAGAGATTGATTGGGAGAGTGAGCATCATGAGGGAGCTGTCATGGCACTTGGATTTATCAGGTGACTACCAATGTCCATCCGGTTTAGCTCTTTGTTCGACTAACATTTTTTTCTACATTCCCCTTTCAGATATTTCTAGTATATAACATATTTGGCGTTGAGCTTTGGATGTACACAGTTTGGACCTTAATTTGTAAAGGTGGAGTGTCTCCTTCTCGAAGTTTTGAACGAAATTCCGTCTCGAGCACTGCATGGTTCTAGTGCACTATATACATACATATTGTCTGATAATCATAAGTTATGTCGTGAAGGAGCAAGTTGGAAAACGTAGAGAGTACCCAAATTTCAATGTCTGGAATTTCTCTTGTTAATTTCCAGGTTGACTCCCACCACACTCTTCAAGGCTTCCATTCCCGAGCTGAAATGTTGTTCTTGGGCAGAGGAGCAAAGTTCATGGTGACTGCTGGCAAGGATAGTACTGTGAGGGTGTGGACTTCAGATCGGGGGAAGGAACTTTCACGTGCGTGTCTAAAAGCGGCTCAGACATGCATGGCCACCAGTGAAAAACATGTGTGTGAGAACCATTCACTCCCAGATTGTAAGAAATTGATTGTCATTCTTCTTCTGTCTTCGTTGCTGCTGCGTTTCTAAGCACTTCCTGTTGATCACATAGCATCTACCTGATGCATGATTTGATTATGTTCCCCAGTTTATGTTACGCATACTGTGAACATTCTGGATGACTGACTGCTAAGTCACTAATGCGACATCTACGAAAAAAGCCTGACGGCCGTGTGTTATTCTCCAAAAAAAGCTTTGAATACTCTCTGAGGTAGTTAAATGGGTCGTACTGAGAATACTAAGGCTGCACTGAGATGAATTTCACTTGGCTCACAGAACATTGTCGCAACGGGAGCAGCAAATGGCTTCATCAATGTGCTGAAAGTGGACCAGATTGGCCGTAATAATGTTTTCTTCAATCTGAAACTACACACCGGCTCATTGGATCAGGTACCTTCCATCAAGTTCTGTTTGGTTGCAACCCATTTTCTCGTCAGGATTGAGATATGTAAAGCTGGAGATTAAGAGTTTGTCGTGATAAACCTGCGCACCTAGCTGAAGGAAAATTTGCTGTGGATGGTTCTCGAACGATTCAAATGAAGCAGTAATCTCTCAAAAGGTGGCACTCAAATCTACTTCCTTCCATTGCAGATATCTTTCAGTCATACTGAGCACTTCGTGGTGACTGCATCTAAGGCCGATGGTCGATTCTTCTTCTGTTCAAACAAATCCGGGGATTTTGAAAATCTGGAGTTACTGGGTTATATTGTATTGCCCAATCCAATCTTAGCACATACTTGGGATATACCTGCTCAAGGTGCCAACTAAAGAATGATAATTGCTTACGCTGAAGCCTGATACAGAGATTGTAACAATAAGTCATAACAAAGGCATCAAAGTTCATTTCTTAAGACCTAAATCATGCAATATTAACAACTGGATGATGGATAGGAAGTACTAAATGTTGCAGTGGGTGACCTCTCATGCGTTTGTGGGTGATACAGATTCGTCGGACCTATTTGTATTGCTCTCCCTGGCCCGTGGAGAGTTAGTGAAGCTAAAACTACCTGTTGACAAAGCTCCAAACGGTGGTCTTGTCTTTGATGGTCCTGCACTCAGACAAATCAGGTTTCCATGATTTCCCTTTACAAATTTCAATAATCACTTCATAAGCATCCTAGGATGATATCTTGTGAGCTGCCAGTGAGGATTCTATCCAAGAACCAACTCTAGATAGCGATTCTCCAACTCATGGATTCTTTTAGGATGAAAACGTTCTAGCTTTCTCTTCCTTATCTGCATTGATCTAATGTGAGATGTTTCTTTTGTAGCTTTCGAATTCCTATCCCTCTGAATGCTATCGCTTCGGGCAAGTATTATTTGGAAAAAGAAGAAGTCGAGAGACGAGTTGTTTGGGGATTCGGGATTGACAAGAAGCTGCAACAGTACAGACTCCCTGACAACTTTAGCGCTTGGACTGGAAGTGATGCCATGCCACATGCTGCACATTTCAATATACCGGGACATCTGAAGCCTGGCCATGCTCTGGGTATTGTCTTGCTATATTCTGTGTAATAATTTCCAATTGATTAGTCATGCTTCTTCAGGAATCATATGTCTCCACAAACTGTTATTGTAAGCTAACAACGTCTATTCAAATTGTAGTCCTAGGAACTTTCGAGGGAGTGCTGGTTACTGGAGGAGAGGATGGCGCAATTCAGATTCGTAGCCAGGTTTTTGATCCTTTGCAAGCACCTCAAAAGGTGCTGGATGTTAGATTATACGACGGATTCACCGGAGGGATAACATCCATCGCCGTAGTAAATGGTAGGATCTATACGGGTGGAGCCAATGGAGTTATCTTCTGTTGTGACACCAGCCAATGCGGGCTGCGGAGGGGAAAGCAAGTTTCTGCAGGTAAAATTTCTCTTACGAGCCAGTATCATGTTCAAAACGTCTGCGTCTGGCTGGTGTATGGTCTATCCTTCAAGCAGCAATTTGAAACACAAATCGATGTGAATACTTGAAATATGTTTTTCAATCAATTCTTAAATATACAATTCAGTTTCAGGAAATAGGTCTGTAGTAGAGAGTACGAACTTGTATGATATTCAAATTACTGATTGGTCTATGTCACATAAACGTTTACGAGTCTCACCTCTTCCTAGGTAGAGATGCAACTATTCTTAAGAGTTGCCTGCAATAGCAGAAGGCTACTTCACTGAAAATTTACTCCACGTTGATCCTCAGGCATGATTTATATGCCTAAATACTAATGAAAACTTTCCCTTTCAAGAAAGCCTACATGACATTTTGTAAATTTTGTCAGGTGACCTTCCACCGCGAACCAAAGCTGTGAGGGTCAATCACCAACCTGAGGATGAACAATCGGCAGAATTATCTGTAGTGCAAATACATGACCAAAATGTGGAAACAAGGTATTCACTTTTTTGAATACAAATGGTCGAATACACCAGGTGCGTGGTAAATTGCGTTTCAACCTTCATTGTAAAAAAATCGATCATGCCTTATCTGGATGTCTGATTCTAGCATTGCTGATTTTCCCAGATATATGCAAGCTGGACAAGCTTACCGGGCATCTCTTACAGGGAAGATACAACAAATTAAACAAGCCTTTAATCTTATTTACGAAGAAAATGAAAGGGTAAGAATAGAACTACTCATCAAGTGAAGTGCGTAAGTTCATGCAGTAGCTGTAGGAGTGAATGACTCTTTAGCATCAAACCTTGGCGGACGTTAATTTTCGATATATTCATCTTCCTTGGTATGGACTCTTAATCTACTTAGTTTGTTCCCTAACTTAATCTCTCATATAGGCACCAGAGCTGGAAAAACTTACACCCAAGGAGCTTCTGGTTGACACCGAATTAGAAGCTCAACTACGTGATAAACTGCAAAAGGCAGTCACTGAGGTTGTAGAGAAGGTATAATCAGCTATTCTTTGTGATAACTCAACCTCATCTCTTACGGCAGGCCGGCACGACTTTCCCTCAGCAGTTTCCATAGTTTGAAGTCTGATTGGAAGTTGTCAAAACGAAGGAATGAGTTCTTTTGCAATGGATACTTTAACTTCAAATCCAGGCTTTGTGAGCAGGTAAAAATTAGTGATGCCAAGAAAGATATTCTTGCCGCGCGGATCAAGCAGGAGTGTTACGAGTCGATGGCAGATCCTGGTAGGTTGCGTCATTGTTTTTTCCAGACTGTTGTATTCATTGTTTTATCCAGACATGTACTTTTTTTTAAAAGATTTACTTCTTTGTAAATTGAAATATGCTGGCGATCAGTACGTGCATAAGGAGTAAGTCATTTACATAGTGACATAAGAAACTGGGAGAGTGTGTCCCCATAATGACTCCATGCTTCTTGTATTCGTCACACCAGCGTCATGTTGTAATCGTAAGATGATTCATGAAGATGAAGTTTTGAGCTCGTGAAAATTTTCACTTTCATGGTCATGCAGAGGTGACTCTTCAGCCGTTTTGCACTGGCTACCCCGTTCAAAGCTTTCCCATTCGGAAAGAAGCTGGGTTTAGTCCTAGGTTAGCCTACCTTGCGAAGCAGCTCCGCATAATTGAACTGAGAGAAATGCACTACACAAAACAACTGAACAAGAAGCTGGCTAAGGAGGCTGCCATACTAGCTGCAAAAGAAGCAGAAGAACTTGCTGCACAAGAAGCTGCTAAGAATGCTGCCTTTTCATCTGCCATGCTTGATGAGGGCAGTGCATCAGATGCAGTAGGCGAAGGAGAGTTTACCAATCGAAGTAGAGATAGCATATATGAAGATGGTGAGTCTGTTGTGGAGGAGACCAAACTTCCTGAGCAGAGTCTTAGTGGAGGGGAGGCTGCTGGAGGAGCTCCTGTAAGTCGAAGGGAGAGTGTTTCCGAAGGGGCTGGTAATGCTGCAAGACGTCCTGATGGTGAAGAAGGGGGTGCAGTTGTAGTAAATGCAGATGATTCTACTGTAACAGCACCTCCAACGACGACTGGGGCACCTGTTGATGATGACGATGATGACATGGAACTTTCGATTTCTGAAAATTCTCCTGCTGATAGCTTTTTATACGGCACTTTTGAACTTACAACGTCCAAGCGCAAACGACTGCAGCGCTTTTTTCTCTTTATGCAACTACAAGAAATCCGATCAGCATTCAATGCCAAAATGGTGGCATCCAAAACAAACAAAATTCAGCTTATACAAAAGATTCATGAATTGCAAGTCAGAATCAAAGATTTGTATAGAATGCTTGGAGGGCAAGGCGAATGTCCGCTCTTACAAATCAATGAATCAGTTGAGGTAATTACTCTGTTATACAACATCTTCAATATGGTAAAATTTCGTATTTCCTCTAACCTCTCTCTAATCATATCTGAGATGTGTTACTGCTGAAGAGTTTGTCTTCCTTAATGTTTTCGCGTATTTTAGAAGGAGAAAAGTCATAATAAGCGATATCGTATAGAATGTAGGTAGTAGTGCATTTGACTCAACGAGCACGGGTCAAATGGATTTGTGAGATGTCTTTGGTGGACGAGAGATGAGACATACGTATATTATGAGACTATGAGACTAACGTATTGAATCAGCAGCTCATGATATCACTCGAGGAAAGAGTCCAGAGGATACTAGGTTTACAAGTCTATTACAGCTTGAAGCAAGTCCTGTGATTAAACATGAACAAAACCTGTGATGAAATTCGGTTACAATTTTTCTTCATCCCAAGATGATATGCTTTTGTAAAAGGTAGTTGTTACTGCTGAGCAGTTTAACGTCTGTGTAAGGTGGCTACCGCGGAAACTCCAATTTAGAATAAACTTTAATATATGCATTCATGTTTGAATATCTGATTACAGGGAATGCCTGATATATTCGAAATAAAAGACGAAGAGGTCAAGGTCAAAAAGTATTTGAATAAGGCTGAGCGTGCAAAGGCAGAAGAGATGCGACTCGTGGAAGAAGAGCAAGCGAAGTAGGTACTCTTCGTGTCCCTCAAATCCTCTACACAAATTACGATTATACATTTGTCAAACATCTTCGATGCTTGACAAACATACATCTCTTACTCAACCAGCAGTAACCTAGATGACGCATATGAGAGTATTCGATCTCACCCGATTACAATACCTCAGGATGTCTTCAGGCCATAAATTCAAGAATAAAACACAAACTTGTTTCAATACTTGTAGGTGGTAAACTCTGTGCACTTGTGATTTGATGGATTCACACTTGAGTCTCTTTCATCACTCAGTTGAACCTTTTGAACTTTCCACATCATAAGAGAATGAAAACTCTGATTGGTGTTGTCATCGAAATTCTGGAAGTTTTGATGCAATATTTTCTGATGGTTTACGTAATAACTGCCTCACATAGCTCCACTGCCGTTTCCTTGAAGTAAGACCGAACGACGACCTTGCCGGAAGGCAAATTGATCTGTGCTTTCGTTTCAAAGGTTGCGGGCAGGGAGCGATGCTGCAGAAAGGGCGCTGCACGATATGATGGGTGGAAAACTGGAGAAAAAAGTTGAAATCATATCTGTGGAAGCGGAAGTTCAGAGGCCGGCTTGGATGAGCGGCAATCCTAAGGGATTCACCAAGGAACAGCACAAAGAAGTTAAAGACTTTGATCAGTTTCTCAAGGTATAGCATTCAGTCCGACTACACAAGATGGTTGAATCATGTTAACACATTGTCGAAGTGTGAGGAGAATCCGCCTACTGCGAGTATGTAAAATAGTAGATGTTCAGGATATTATGAGCTTGCTGATGGATATCTGATCATCATCTTCTTCTGATTTTAACTCTCAGCAACTGAAAGAGGAAAAGGAGAAGAAAATACGAGGACAAGAGTCAGAGCAGCGAAAGTTAATGAATGATATTCAGGAGATGACTTCTGCTTTCGATAAAGAGATTCTGGACTTGTTCAACCAGCGATGCCAGGTGGGGCACCATGTGTCAGTCAACAACAAGCGAAATTCCACATTAATGAATTTGTCCCAATTATCCGAACCAGGTTATCGACTCGGAAGTCCATGTAACCGTCATTGTATGTGAAGAATGATGATGTGTGAGGGCGCCTAACTCGTGGTTCAGGGCAGACACAGTCTTCATATTAGCTCCATATTCCATGGCAGTCAAAGGAGCGACAACTTTGACACTAATATTCCTTTATCTTGTGAATTCTTGCAAGTCTGCTTATGAACATCTTGAATGGTCAAATTTCCGTCGCAGGATGAGGTGAGATGTACTGCGATTGAGGAGAGCATTGCACGTTTTAGTGGCCAAGTGGAGATAGAGGAGTTCTCAGACGAGAAACGAGAATATGATCTCTCTAAAACCATGGAGAAACTGAAATCAGCGAAGGCCCAGTCAGTTAGTGCCCTCACGGAGTTCAGGCGCGAGGTAAATGTGACATGCTCGCTAAGTACAACTCCAAATCTCGAGCAGTTTTGGCAAACCCAAAGATTCACTTACTTGCATCAGAGTCAGGTACTTACGTCACTGGTCTCGTCTGTGCAGGTTGATGCTTTCAGAAATGAGTACGAAGCAGCTGTGGCCGAAGACAGGCTTCAGGATAAAAGCTTCAGGAAGCTTTTCTCAGATTGTGGGGATCAAATTAACGAACTCTATAAAGCTTTTCAAAGGCGTCCTATGAAGTAAGTCCCAGAGGGGTGGGGCAGCATTCTCCTGAGTACTCAGAAATGAACAGAATCTTACAAGTATACCGCAATCTGACTCTGAACATAACTGACATATAAGAATATTGACTAATGACTGCACAGACCCTCAGAATTACAACCAAAGGAGAAAAAACAGTCAATAAATTCTCTTTCGCCAGAGAGGAGACCATCTCTGAAAGCTATCCAAGCTCAAGCTTCTCGAAGGGGGTCCCTTGTAAGTAACTGCTTGTGATTGACAACGTAAATCTACCCCCTTGACTATCTATGCAGCATCCTGCTTCCTTCCTCGGGCACAACAGGCCAGGTTAACCTCTCGTTGCCTGATCAAACAGTTGTTCCACAAATCTCCTTCAACTTAGGTCTGGTTGTCATTGTCGACTGCAGATGGGACCTCCAAGAAAAGCTGCGCCCCAAGTTATTATAGACCCCTTCTATGAAAAACCACCAGTGAGTTTTGCATACCTTCAGCCAGTGACTACTACTGTCATTTCTTTTTATTCTAAAGAGTAGGTTCAGTCAGACTTTAAGGTTCGGGCCACGGGAACTCTCTCAGGCTTAAAGCAAGAACAAATACAAACCCTGAGACGACAAAAATCATTTATGTATTTGGTGTCAATGATCGGTACCCTCGAGCCTGAGAGATTTCCAAGTCGCTCTGCAGTACATGAGGTCTGATGCATTACGAAGGATAAGATCTTCTGAAGCTGATTTCGAGATTGGTAATGAGCAGGAGGTAACGGCAGCCCAGTGGGAGAGGTTAGTGGAGGTTCGCGGCAAGAAAATCATACAAGAAGAGGAAGTCAAGAAGCTGACAGTGGTGATGAATGAAATGCAAGGATGCCTGAATGAGCTGACTTCCGCCGATGATACTAACCGCAGAAAGATTGAGAGCGCTTTGAGAGAACTGGCTGGTATGGACACGCAACAACAACTCAGTGCTGTTGTTTGGTGAACCCATTCAGGGTCTGATAGATACCTACCAGAGTACCCACTCATCACGTTTCTCGTCTGGGAAACTTGCTTCCACATTGCAGAATTTCGTGAAGGGAGAGAAAAGAAGAGAAGGAATCTGATCGTTCCTCTCCACATAAAACAAGGGTTAGTTGAAGCTGAGCTGAAGCCCCTGGAAGGAGAATACAGCAATGTCAGCTTGATGCCCCGATCTGTGATCGTGGAATGTAATGAAATTGTGATGACGGAGGCCAACTCAAAGGTGAAGTCCCGGGCTCATGGAAGAGAGAACTTCTCTGTCAGCATCTCTGTCAGTTCACGTCAAGCTAAGACGCGATGTTTATGCAAGAAGAATTAGGCCTTGAGTTTGGCACGATGGGCAAAATTGGCGATGAATGCAAGCAAAGCAACGTGTAGAAGCATTGTCCCGACCAATTCCTGTTATTTTGGCATTCCTTCATCTCAAATCCGCAATTCCGAATCCATGACGTGTTCGCGGTGGCTACGGTTCCACTTTTTCGATCGCCCTTGCAGATCGATATGATGAAAAGAATGAAGGCTTGGAAGGCCGAGAACAACTTGATCAGGTGGGAGATAGCTCGGTTGCGACTACAGCAGCGACTTGTAGCCGAGAAAATCAGACACCTGCAGCTTCTGCGTGTTACTAAAGGTGGGCAGAATTAGCCGACTCTGTCTGCTCAGTCTCAATTGTCAACAACAATCTCCTTCGGCACATCTGTCGGTTGCCTGGGTCTAGTTCCAACTGCACGACCACGTTCGACATTGCTGCTATCTGAGACTTTGCCTTTCGTTCCGCAGCGAGTCAGATGGTGATCAAAACTGGAGAAGACCCCACATCCGCATCCGAAGCTCTCGCGCTTGCGAACAGGCAATTCTAACACCAGCTTGTTCTACATGCCATGCATTGTAGACGCCTCTGATCCTAATCGATTCTCTACGCTGTCTGCAAATTCTCCTAAAGTGTAATATTACGTCTCGGAGGATAAAATATTTCTCATTCTTTGGGAATTTAATGTTCTGATATATTTTGTGCGGCCTCGTCCACTGAGAATCACAGAGTGCAGTAAATTTGATTTTACTTTTCCAGGAAAAGTTGCCGCCTCTTCGAAGGCAGGCAGGGAATAACTTGTAGTGAACAATCTGCTAAACAATCTGAAGGAATAACTGGCCGCAAGTGACCTTCCTTGGCTCTAGGAGCAAGATAGCGATTCTTGAGCTCCTCGTCGTGTATTTTGCCAATTCAGATTTTCTTCGGACACTGACAGACTAGCAGCTCGTGCTGAACTAGCTCGCCTTCGAAATCTGCGGGTCCAACGCATGCCTCCTTTAGTCTGAAGTGTCAGTGGATGCTTGTTATGAGCCCAAGATTTCTCGGACTGGATGTGGATCCGTGACAAGGTTCTACTTTCTCATGGCTGTAGGCTGGAGCATAACACGAAGATGCAGGAGAAGCGAAAAGCTGACAAGGAGTTCGTACTGAAGCAGCTGGAACACAAAAGTCAGTTGCTTCGAAAACAACGAGAGGAACTTGTAGTAACGGAAGCGGAAGTCCGTAAAGTGTTCGAGTTCCAGAACCGAGTGTGCAGTAATTCATGTAAGAGCATCAACCCTTCATGTCATACATAGAAGCGCTTCACCATCCACACAAGTAGACATGAATACCATACCATCACAAAGCCTGTGGACTTCAAGTTTGATCGATGGATGCGCTAGTTCATTCCTCAGCAAATTCAGCAATTTCCATTACCGGACCAGGGATCTCAGTGGGAGCTACCAGGCAAAGTACTATGATTGTCACAGCTTTGCTCTACTGCTTTATGATCATGGCGGATCTTCGATCTTTGCTCGATAGCATAACTCTTCTACCTGCCTACAACGTTTTGCAGTGGCTCAAGTCAGCAAAGAGGCAACGAACAACCAGCGATTCCAGATCCTCTCGACCGAGCGAAAGCTGAAGGAGCTAGGTACACTCGCTCACAATAAACTGGACTCGCAACTTCCGATGTAGCAATTAGAAAAGTCCTACATCAGGGATGCTTCGAGCACACATAGAAACTGGAAGGGTCATGTATCAGTAGCAGCAGTGAATAAGTTGTAGATTTCTTCGGACAAAAGAGTCGTAAGGAGCCGCTCAAGTGCCAAGGAGATGCTTTTCTAGACACGATATGTTGCCATAGGTGGTACATGTTGTTAGCTGGCTAGTCACAGATCTGATTTTCGGTTGCTCTCGATGCCGTGCCATGCAGTCAAGGAGCAGGCTTACCAGATGCAGGAACTCGAGAGAGAGCTTGACGAGACAAGGTCTCGCATAGTTCCTCTTCTTCCCGGCACGCAACTGACTACGTACGACTTCCCCATCAGGGCCAAGCATTCTGACTTGGGACGCGAATACTTCTTGGCTAAAGCGGCCAAAGAGCACGAGGTTGAGTGATATCAAAGAGACATCGATGATAAGTCTCGGAGCAATGCCTTCAGATTTTGAGGAAGGTAGAAGCTGGAACGATCATTGTATCTTTCGGGGCCAGTTCTTACAGTTTTGTAGAGGATTGAGGAGGCTTTGTAAGATAGTTGTGATTCTGTGAACGATCATCATCTGAGTATGTAGGACAACTTTGTATGCCGACTGCTGCTGCTGCTGCTGCAGTCATTATTGTTAAAGACACATGGCACGCACACGATACGTCAACATCTACGAGGTATCAGAGCCCGTGAGTAAAGCGGACGATCATGGCTTCATAAACGGAGCCGGACGAAGAGTATCTTTTCCTAAGTTCCTTGTCTCGAGGAAAAGAATGCCTAGTCGCCCTTCAAATTTACATGAGCTTTGCAGGAGGTGTTGCCGTGAAAGGTTGGATTTGTGAGATGATTTACCAATGAGACTCCGAATGATACTTGTTCAAATGAGGGTCAAAGTAAAGATAGTATATGGTACATGGGAAAGGAGCACAAAGTGATCAAAGCTGGTCTTCGGACCTTGTTCAGACTGGTCGCTTTCGATTTCATGTAGCCGTAGTTCATGCTCAAAAGACATAATGCTGTAAGCCACAAACAAGTACTTGCAACCCTAGTTCAAGGCCTTGGATACTGGCATCTCCTATCCACTCCGCATGTCAAGAAAAAGTCCAGTCAATCTGCTGGTCCAGCAGAAGGTATCACTTACACTGCAGCTCCGATGAGGGAGTGTTGAAATAATCTGTAGTGCTATGAACCCTACTCGTAAATAGTCGAGGCTCGACAGTTTCATGTCAAGCGATCACCAGAGCCCGCACAAGCCCCAAATAAAACATGTTCAGAAGACTTCAACCTCCGGATCGAAAGGAGGAGGAACCGGAGCCCGGGCGGAGAAAGAGCGTGTAGGATTTTCCTCATAGAGTTCATTGTTTCCTATAATGTACGGGTTAGCCAACAAGGCACTGACCGCTTCACAAGGGCCACGGGTAAAGCAAACTGAAGCACATACGGCAACTTCAAAGAAGGCAGGGAGAGCCGCATTCTTTTGGCGCGTGAACTGCATTGAAAATCACAAACTACGTCTACGGTTCGTTTCATGTTACAAAATTCAGGCCATTTTACAGGCCCGGCCCGGGAAGGGGAGTGTCATGGGTTTCAAGATTCATGAAGTTTTTCCAACATCTGGATCACGAGACTCGTCGGGTGCAGAAAACTTCGGCCCAAAAAATTCGGGTCTCATTGAGTTTCTGGTATCGGACTTCTGCCCACCAGCAGACGCGAGCGCAAGAGAGCGGGAGAGAGTAGCGAGAGAGAGAGAGAGAGAGAGAGAGGGAAGGTGAGAGCGAGGGGCAGAGATTATGTACAAGGCAGAGCGCAGCGAGGGCGAGCGAGGTCAGACGGAGGCATCGAGGCGGGGATTGAAGGGGAAGCCGATGGTGGAGCGGTAGTCCTCGATGTCAGTGAGGAGGGGGCAGCTGGCGACCCAGCGCCAGGAGCGCTTGGAGAAGTCGTACATGAGGGCGTGCGGGCACTTGTAGCTGGTGAGGCAGATGAGGTTGTTGAAGCCGACGCACATGAAGTCGCCGTTGCGCGAGTCGCGCAGGAAGCGCTTGCAGAGCGTGTGGGGCATGCGCGCGACCTCGGCCCAGTTCATGGAGTTCTGCTCGAGCTCCCAGATGCGGATGTTCTTGGGGATGGTGTGCTTCTTGAGGCCGCCGACCATGAGCAGGCGCGTGTGGCAGCCCACCAGGTGCGGCGACGAGAGGAAGGACGGCATGGGCGCGCGCACCACGCTCCACACGCCGTGCTCCATGTTGAAGGCGATGACGCCGTACGGGTCGCGCGTCACCCAGAAGTGGAACCCGTTGCAGAAGGCGTTGCGCAGCGTGTAGTTGGCGATGGGCAGATGGTTGCCCGTCAGCCGCCAGCAGTTGGTGGTCGAGTCGTACACCTCGGTGCGAACGTTGTCCTCGTAGTAGTCGCCCGCTACCACGATCTTGTAGCCGCGCGTCACCGGGTCGACCACCATGCCCACCAGGTTTGGGAAGCGCTTGTGCAGCATGGGCGGCAGCTCCCGCCAGCACCGCGTCAACGGGTTGCACACGGACAGCGTCGGGTAGGCGCTGACGCCGCAGAAGCACAGTAGCCCGCCCGCGGCCGCGCAAGGGAATTTTGTCTCGTAGTGGAAGAAGGTGAACGGAATGCGGTGCCAGAGCTCGGACGCTGGGTTGAACACGGCGCACATGGAGCGGTCCTTGGCCTCGAACATGAGGAAGCACGGCAGCGGCGGCGGAATCCGGCGGTACATCTCCAGGAACGACTGCGAGTACATGACCGCGTTCCAGCGCCGGCACACCGTGCAGGCCCGCGCGAAGGCTGGGAACGGCAGCCAGGCCAGAATGCGGTCCTGCAGATCCTCCGGCAGCGCGCCCCACAAGGTCTCGTCCATGGCCGCGCCGCTCTTGTGGCGCTCCGCCGCCGCCGCCGCGGCGCCCGCCTCGAACGCGACGATGGCCGACGCCTCCCCTGCGTCGCCGCCATCCGACAGCGTGTCCGACGTCCCCGCATGGCTGCCCGCCTCCTCAGCGCTGCTACTGCTCATCGCCTCCTCCTACCGCATGCCTCTCGTCGCCCCTTCCTCTCGATCTCGATCTCGCCCTCTCTCTCGCAGCGCAATCCGAGCTCACTAGGGCATCCTCTTCCCGCCTCGAAATGGCTTCCGTCTATGGTCCCGATCTCAGAGATTCTCCTCGATATGGCGATGGCTGATTTGCTCACACTATGGCGGCCCAATCGCTGTCATCTGCTACGTTCATTCATGGTCCGGCCGCGCATTCGCTCCCGAATGTGTCGACTTCCGCCGGCGGTACTTACCTGAGAATTTGTGGCTCCTCTCTCGATCTCTCCCCTCGATTTCGCCCCGCAACTCGTTCTCCACTGCAGGAGAAAATCTCTCGCGCATTCTCTCCGGCCCGTCCCTGTGATGAATTTGCCCCGGCCTCGCTCGCGCAGGGTTTAAGGAATGTGTGCCGGTGCGGCACTGGTTTCGAATCTTTCGATCTGGACCTGTTTCCTTGTGTTTTGATCCATTGCTTGAGGAGCGTGTTCGCAAGTCACGCGCGATCGCAGGGTGAAGGGAAGGAAAGGAAGATGGGCGAGAGGGCGAGGGGTGCAGCCGCTGCCAGAAATGCGTCCGAGAGAGAGCGAGTTGTAACTCTCCCTCTCCTTTCTTCGTGTAACTAGCCCTGTTTCGATTCGGCGCTGGGTTTTGGCTGTTGAGCGCGGACGAAGCGCTCTCGATGCTTCACAGCCCACAGGCACCCTTGGCCTTCCGAGGCGGAAGGTTGGACATTGCACGAATTTATTGGGACGACGGGGAATTGGAGAATAGCGTTGCTTGCAATGCCAACGATTCACGAAAGGCGGCGTCCTTACAAATCATGATCACGAGAGGAAACGACAGACAGAGCCGAACTGCGGCGGCAGGGCCAGCGAAATGCTCTGAGATTCAATTGCACAGAGGGCTGGAAACAACCCTCCGACCCAAAGTGAAAGACGTGGGGGATTCCCCGGCACCACCTACCCACGTCCGCTCTTCTTCCATCGACGAGACGAACTCAAGTTCGCCGGCATGTGTCCACAAAGGCGCACCTGAGGACATTTGTCCTCTGCGTGCCTCCCCCGGGCGACATTGGGACGCATCGGTCGACGCAACCAATCACAACTGTCCACCGTCATTCGAAGAGTGGCGTGTGAGTTGCCGCCACGTCCGATATAGCCTTCGCTCAGGCTTTGTGGCTCCGAGCTCCTTCCCACTCCTTTCCTGTACGTAAATTGCTGCAGCTCTCCTCCAGCCCCCACTCTCTCCGGAGGCATCCCGAGCAACATTGCTCGTCACCATTTCTGTCCGTCTCTTACCTCGAGAGGTGCACTAGCGACAGCTGAGAATATGGAGGAAGAGTCCAGTTTCTCCATATTCTCCCGCTGATTCCTGCATCGTCGTTATCCTCTCTGTAAATTCTCAGCAGCTTTTACAGAGAGGTCAGTGTGTCAGTTCCGATGTCAGCCCTCCTCCCTATACCACTCAGATATCCCAAATGTGAGCTTTCTGGAATCACGAGTCTGTCAGTCGTCGACCTCGGTTCTGATAGCGTCAATGGTGGCCGTTTCTACAGAGAAGTGAGTATACGGTGTCCGGCATACAGCTCAAATCAACCCAATGCTCGGAGGAAGAGGTAATGGATCATCGTAACCTAGCACGCCTGCAATGCACAGATGCAAAAACAATATACACTCACGGTACAGTACTGATCCACCAAATGCCGCCACTGACAGACTGACTTGACTGACTGACCGATCGACCAGCAAGACTTTGGAATTCTGAGCCTCCCGAGTCAAGGACCAAAATGGAAAGAAATAGCTGTACTGTAGCAATCTACGATGCAATTCCAGTACTGTGCATTCGGACCTCGCACGCCAGTAAGCAGAAGCATGGCACATCACAAAGCCATCAATCAAGCAAATGACTGGTGCCCCGTCCTGGACCGGACGCGTACGACAATAACGGTATACCCCATCGCTTACCGTACGATCCGCTTTACCTTTACACGCCTCGTGCAGATGGGGCTGCGTATTCTCTCGGAGAGATGACGCTCCGTGGATCACGAGTACGTTCAGAGCAGGACCTTATCGTCCCTGAGACTTCTAGCGCCCTCGATCACATCCTCCGAATCTTACCTCGAAGGGTGACCTAGTTATGTCTAAGCTTTGGGCGACAGAGTGTAGCTATCGAGCTCGTATGAATGTCGTAGCTGGAGTGAATTTCTTCAATTGCACCCGGATTCGCATCTCAACAAGGCTCAAGGACCACACATGTCCCAATCCTCCCTCCCTCCCTCTTGTTTAACTTCGTAGGGGTATGGAATTTCATTTCGAGGGCTCGCTCGCTCACCACAATGCAATGTATCGTTGACTGCCGTAGCATAGGTTGAGAAGAGGCACAATGATGTACTCACTCGGCAGACAGGGAGGACCCACAAGGACTCGAATTTGATCCACCCATGGGGGCAAATGAAGATTTTATTTTTACAAGAGGCGGGATGGAAAACAACAGCTTCGAGACGAGATCCATGATTGCGCTTAGCCGGTGTCTATGAACTGAGTGTCACCAAATTGGGGCCCGAAGATGAGATCGACCGTGTAAAATTGGGCCAGGGACCGGACGAGGCTCAGCACCATGTAAAGGTAGTAGTAGTACATGGACCGGGGAGCTCGGGTCTTGTTGTCCCACAGCACGCGAGACAGCACTTGCGGCAGCAGGAAGAAGTAGGAGATCACGTCGGCCGAGGCTTGCAGGTTGGCCCACATCATCTGCTGCAGATGGTTGCGGCGGTACATGGACTCCTCGAAGCGCGAGGCCAGCAGCTGCTGCCCGGACAGGAACGTCAATTGCACGACCGTGAAGGCCAGGCCGAAGATGGCCAGGCAGATGTACCAGATATGGTGCTCGGCCACTCGCGTCGAGGTCTGATCCTTGCGCAGCACCTCGGCGTAAGCGCAGGCCTTCCTCGTCAGGTGCAGCCAGCGCATCTCGAGCATTAGCGCCGCCATGCTCGCGGCCGCAGTGAAGAGCTCGACCGAGTCTGGCGCCGCGACGCGCACGGCCGCGTCGTCCGACGCGCTCCCGGACATCTTCAGCGCGATGATGTTGACGCTGAAGGCGAGCGAGACGGCGTGGCCCGTCACGAGCGCCGCGAGCATGACGAACGAGTGGCAGGCGAAGAGTCGCGGCTTCGATGGGTCCTTGCTGTGGACGAGCTCCGGCAGCAGGACGACCACCAGCAGGCACAGCGTGCCCACGCTCATGACGATGTCGACTCGCTTGCGCCACAGAGTCTGCGCCGACTGCGACCTCGATACGCCGGAGAACGAGTCGAGCGCGACGGCCGGGAAGGCCAGCGGGTCGGACTCGCTACGCAGGCTGGTGATAGAGCCGCTGGCGTGCGGCACCTCGCCCCAGACGCTCGGGTTCACCTCCGGGTAGCGCAGGTTGAAGAGCACGCTGCAGTCCATGCCGTCGGTGTCGTCGTCGTCGTAGCCGTCGGCCGCCCAGATCTTGGACCGGCACCCGAGCATGCACAGTTGGCCCGTGCTGCGGTCGAACCAGCCCTCGGCCGCCATGCGCTTGAACCACTGGTCCTTCGACGCGGAGAACAGCTGCTGCATGCGTGGCACGTACACGACGAAGCTTACGTTCATCCTGCCCGTCGTCTCCCGGTCCTCCACCGGGAACCCGCGGGCTTGCGCGAAACTCCACTCGCGCCGCGAGTTCCCGAGCTCCATGGCCGACAGATACACGGGCAGCGCCGAGGCGACGCCCGCGCCCGGGCTGGGGTTCGTGACCAGCGTCTTGAGGTCCATGTCCAGGAAATCCGACCCGTCCGGGTACTTGGCGCCCTTTCTGACGGGGAATTGCTCGGCCTGCCGGTCGCACATGGGCTCGATCAGCTCCCGCAGGCTGGGCGTCCGATCGAACTTGTCCATGACCTGGAGCCTGGCCGGGGAGTCGGCGGACAGGACCGACAGCCAGCCCCCTCCAACGAAGGAGAACGGTTCGAAGTACAGCGGGTCGGAATTGAGCCTCAAGCTGCGCACGTGGCCGAAAATCGCCAGCGGGTGCGTGATCGTTCGGAAGATGGTGGCCACCTCGAGGGTGACTTGGATCTTGCAGTCGGACGCGTCAAGCAGGCAGGCCAGCATCAGGAACTGCTCGTTCCGCAAGTCCCACATGCCCTCGAGGACGAGCGCCAGGTGGGTGCTGAGCGAGCGCCCGTCGGCGCTCTCGTCGTCCCCCGTGGCGAACACCAGGTGCCCGCTTAGCCGGCCGTCCATGGAGCAGTCGAAGTCGCGGATGCGCACGCCGGTCACCGTGCTCCGGACGTCGTACATGCGGCTGTGCTTCTTGAACGGGCTGCAGTCGGTGCTGTCGACGAGGCCGCAGGCCGAGCTCCAGACAACGGGCATGCGCGCCTCTTCCTCGAAGGACTCGCAGACGGACGAGTGCTCGCTGGCCTCGTTGTTCTGCAGGTAATCGGCGCTGCTGCCCGACGAATCCGCGAGCTTCCTCACCTCGTCCATGCGCGTGTACTTGAAATCGCCCTCGTACACGGCAGCGATGTCGATCGGCGCGAATTGCAGCTCGTCGTCCGAGCTTCGCAGGCTTTTCATCTCGCCGCTGATCAGTGACGTCTTGCTCGTCTTGGATTTGGGGTAGCGGAATCGGACCAGAATTCCGCAATCGCGCTCCGGAATCACCATGGCCTTCTTCTGGGGCATGGATCCGGCCTGAGCGCCGCCCGCCAGGTAGAGGAACCAGGCGGGCGTCGGCCCCTTGGTGGCGCAGCCCCTGGCGCAGAGCTCGCGAGTCTTGATGGATAGCGCGCCCTGAATTTCCACCTCCATCTGCATGCTGTCGTTGGCCTTGAAGGTGACGGTGCCCCGAATTAGGTACACGTAATTGTACGCCGTTCGGGATAGCGACAAATCGCCGGTGCTGAATTGCACGGACCGCGAAATTGTGGCCCAATTGCTGTGGTCGAGGAGGAATTCGCCTCTCGAGAAGTTGAGCCACGGGAGGTGCTCCGTGGGGACCTCCTGCAGAGGGATGGAGTCGTGACTGGCCCCATCCGATTCGAGCTCATCCCCCTGGACCACGGCCTCGCAAGCGTCGGGCAGCGTGAGATCCAGCGGATTGATTTCCGCCTGCTCCACCTGCCTCAACAGCGCCACCACCGCCACCACCCACAGACCGAAAGACGCGAGCTGGCCCCGAGACCTCATCGCTGCTGCGCCACGAGCCCTCCGCAAGTCGCTCACCCATGCAGCCCTCGGCCGGGGCTCTGCCGAATGCTCAAATCTACCATGCACGCAAACATCACAAGCTTCATTAGTCGGGCACCGATGCACAATCTCACCGACCCTCCACAATTCTAATGTGCTCTGGCCTGCCCACGACAATTTCTCCACACAGGTGCTGAATGTGCTCTGTTAGCCATCAATTTCCTCTGGGAATCGGAAACTCTAATTCTAGTGCACCGGATCCTATCCTCGAGACCGTCTCACATCGGGGAATTTCGACCATTTGAACCCAGCTGTTGTCGTCGGCCTCGCCTCGCCTAGCTAGCGAGAGAGGATTCTTTTTGTAGTGAAGACCGAGAGCGAGAAACACAATCGACTGTCACGCCGCGCGAGAAACGAACGCGACGACGATTTTTTTTGGACTGTGACAGATTTTTCTGGACTAGCAGTGTCTCGTGCGCCTCCGCCTCTGGCCTGAGGCGGCCGAGGAGTTCTAAGGATCGGAGCAGAGAGGAGAAGAAATTCTTTAGAGGAGGATGCAGGAGGGAAGAATCCGTCGGGACGACGGCCCTACCTGAGCACAAATCGGAGATGGGGATGGATTCATCCAACGCGCGGCATGGGGAGGAGGAGAATCGCCAGACTCGAGGCCGCAGCACAGCAACGTCATTTGGCAGCTAGCCAAGCGGGGAGCTGGTGGGGGCGGGGCGGGTCGGGGCCGAGAGTCCTGCCAAGCTCCGGCAGGGTCAGCAGGGCGACGATGGCGACGAGGACGAGATGATGCGTCGTGCATCTGACCCGGAGTCGCAGGTGGGTTCCATTCGAGCGGGCACCTGCGCTCAGATCGATCAGTGGGTCGGGCGCTCGGTCTGTCAGCTCTGGAGCAGCAGAGCGGATCAGATTCTCGATGCACTGTCCGAAGTCGATTGACATGCTGTAGGTGACCTCCTTTATCATTGGCTCGGGGTTTTGGAAGGCCCCAGAGCCTCCGAGAGCAGAGAACGAATTGGACTGACGTTCTCGTTTGCATGCAAAGAATCTCGAGGATCTTTAGCGCCCGTGGGGCCCAACATTGGTTCAGCCATTGAAGGAAAAGCAGAAGCGGCCGTGTGCTGGCTCGCGGTCAAACGTCGTGGGCTCCACCGACTCAGCACTCAGCACTCAGCACTAGCACTAGCACTAGCACTAGCAGCAGCAGCAGCACAGGTTTGGTGCGGACGGATTCAAGGATTTCGTCATTTCAATTATTAACTCGCTCGTCTTGTGCTGCCTCTGTGGCTCTTGCACGACCTGCGCATTATGGCATATCGCCCTCTTTCGTCGACACAATCTGCCCTGATCTTTGATTTCTCCCCCAGGAATATGCGTCGTGATTCGTGCTCTGTTTCCTCCCCGGCTGATCTCATTCATGATTCCCCCGCTATTCTCTGGTCCGAAGAGTAGATTGCTAAGCAAGCCAAGGCCCACGACAGTCCATGAGCTCCGTTTCTCATTTACTGTATGATGCTCCGAACTTGCAGGAAAGTGCCAATTCGGCAGCAGCAGCAGCAGCCAGTCCTCGAGAGCCCTGGCCATTAATTTGGTCTCTAGTGCTGCAGCTCAACAAATCAGCCTCCAGTGCAACGCATGAAGCCCCTCTAATCCGACCCAGTCGAGAACGATGTGCTCTGTCTTACATTAATCATTCTGCCCCAAAGACCAAGGAATCCGGTGATTAATAACTTTCTGCTTATCTGCATCTACATACAGACCATGCAAGAAGTCTTACTGAGCAAATCAGGCATTTCAGGCTCAAACATTGCCGCAGCTGTGAAGAGCTGCTACCGTGACGGTGAGATTATGCTCTTCAGATACTCGCCGGAAGATACTCGCCGGGAGGAGAGATTTAGAAAGTACCTGTGCAGAGTTCAGACATGGTTCAAGAGTTCAAGTTGTTCCTGGCGCTAACTGCGCATGAAACCTAGATGCTCTCATCAGTATGCGCCACGTTTCGAGCCGTCCTGGCTCTATACCATCCACAAAGCGAAAGGGATAAATTCCGTGTGCTTTGAGGAAGGGCACGCGACTCCCCACGTTCATGATAACAACTGCGGGTCGAGCGCTGGATGCAAGACACGAACATTGGAACTCTTTTTCTCTCCGATCGAGCTCAAGAGATCCTCGAAAAAATTGCGTGCTCCGCCTTATGCTGAACGAGGGATCCACCCGTATTCCACTACCTGCATCTAACATGCACTGCTGTAGCTTACGCTTGCTCACTCCCGCTCACTTCATAGCCCTCCTTACGATTTCAGATTTCAGACTCGCATCTTCATGACTATGTCAACGAGCCAGTAGACTCATGCACCTGCGTTGACAAACTGCTCTCTGAAGTAATGGTCACGCGTACGAGGTCAAATCTTTTAACACTAAATTAATGGTCCAAGATACTGGACTTCCTGTAACTTCAGTATCGACAGTTCTGAAAGTCTTCTTCTGTTCGTGGGCTCTGGTCCTGGAATAGGTTAGCTGCCCGTACCTCCGAGTCAACGGTGCGTACTTCCCGAGCCACTGCTCGAGAAGAAGTTCTATTTGGTGTCAGACGGGTTTGCATTAACGAACAAATACACTCCGAAATCGCCAGTATCCCGATGAAAGGTTAATATATGCTTTTATTTCTTTTGGAAACTCCAGATCCTCGCCATACTCGAGTCCAGACTTACATGGATGGATTTGACCAGCACGACTCTTGGGAGAAGTTGAAAGCTCTAGCTGTAGCGTCACAGAGCCTGGCTCATGTCCTTGTTGACTCGTGGCCATGGCCAGAAATTCAGATCAGCTGGTCACACGGAGGGATCGGCTTTTGTCTTCACAAAAGCTGAAGCCCATCTAAATCCTACGCTTGCAGGTGTCAGAGATCTTGCAAGTCTGCACAGTTTCTATTCATGAATGCATGTAGTTCAAAGTATGGACGACCAGTGTGGTCCAGGTTTAAGCTGATAAAACAATTGTCTCGAACTACGAGAAATGCATGCTTAAGCTCACTCTGTAGTACGAGTCAACTACATCCGCCCATTTCACCAAACAAACGTTCAGACCAGACAAAGCTGGTGTCTCCTCGATCCCTCTCTGTTGGCCACAGTGGCTTGTAAAGAAGCACAAGAATTTAGAAACATATGAAAGAGGAAGCCCTGTACATGAACCATAGAATCGCAAGGGTTCGATTCCAGTTACGTTTGTTGGCATTCTGACTAATGATAATTTGATTGACACTTCGATTCAGCTATGAACTTGCGAGCATCTTCAGGCTTTACGGAGAAGCGGACCGACCGTGGGAGGAGACTGCTTTCACATTATCCGCGGATAATTTCTTGTTCGTTAGTGCAAGCATTTCTCCAAACCTCCAGCTCAGATTCCGTGCAGCGTGATTCCTATCAAGACTTCATGTGCTCGGGGTGCATAGAATTTCGGGAAAAGGGCCGGGAATATACAAAGAAATCCAGGGCAGGCAGCTTTGGAACTTCTTCACCAGAGGTACGTTCATTCAGGCGCAAGACCGACCTTCCCAAGCAGTGTCCCCACTCACCGGATTCGGGAACAGTCGAGTTCACTCCCGACCTCCAAGTATCAGAATCATCTCCAAGGACTCTCCTTTGTACAGAGTTCATGCCGCACCGGTTGGTGTCAATCCACCATTGGCATCTCTGGTGCAGCAGCAATTGTGCTCCAAGCGATTTTGACAGGACTGTACCTCAGTCTTGCGTGAAACAAAGAATTATCATTTTATTCAAAAAAAAAAAATTAAAAAAATTATACTTTATTTTTACTAAAAATAATATTTTACTCAATTTTTTGGGATGTGGTATTTTCTACCCCCTGCAGTTGTCATGATGTTCATCATTCTACGCTACTTTTGCTCCGTTCCACATCATGTCCTTTGTTCCTGTACCAAACGTTCGAGCATGGACTTGTTCAAGGAAGAAACGAAAAGTACGATCTCTGTACGTGCCTTCGAAGGGACCACAGTTCCTTGAAGGAGTATAATGTGAGCAGCAGAGCGAAATCATTGAATACTCGAACAGCAGAGATCTCGCCCATTTGACTGCTGTTCAAATGTCTTCAACCATCGTCGTGACCCTACAAAATCTACCTTGCACACAATAGGCTTGTAGGTATGTCCAAGTTATTTGTCGATTATTACGTGTGTGGGGCCACATGGATAAAAAGCATACCATGTAATACCCATGGTTCTTTTTAAAACGTGATAACAAGAAGGTAGACCCTATAGCATCGTTAGGCAAGGTCACGTAGCCGGCTAAGGCCTCAAATTTAGCCGGCTAGCCTTCGGCTAATCGAAAATGCAATAGACCGAAATATTCAACCGAAATAAATTCTTATTGGATAGTTTCGGGCCGAATCGGACGAAAGAATCGGCCGAAATCGTAAACTCGGTCCGAGTTCTCGTTTCGTTTTCGGTCTCGGATAGCGGTGGCAATATTTATCTGTGACCCGATCAGCCGACGGCTAGCTGTTAGCCGAGCCGTGAGCATCCGTAGGTATCGTGATGAAATATATGTGTTACATAACTACTGTATCTCAACTATATGTAAATATGCCGGTACTCTCCTAAGAATGCTTTTTAACTGCTCTTCCCTTTCCTTGAAATAGAACCTGAAAGTGAGAAAGTGAAACGACTACCGTTCTAAGCGAGGGCACTCAGCCTTCGGAGGATCTCACACGTTGGTATCTACGGTAACATGTTCGTAAGGCCGGATTGAAATAATATCTCAAATTATGCAAGTTGACGTATTCTTGTCCTTACTCTCCACAAACATCCACAGCAAAGTCGTCCATTTACTCGCCCTGACTTGAGTGCTTTCCAAGATGATGTCCGATACATATCATGAGTTTTTATACATTAAAGAAGTGAAGCATGTGAGGACAGATTTATGTGCTAACCAAATCTGTTCGAATTTAGTTGAGAATCATTCATGGTTGTTTCTTATAAGATTCTAATAAGAAAGACCATGCGAGTTTTCTATGTTTATGGATATTTTGGTATGCTCATTTTAAAATCTTAGAAGAAAAATGAAACTAACTGACCATGCTTAGCGAAGAGGAAACTATCTGATAAATCATACTACGCTCAGAAATATGATGCTTTGAAGGAGTTTTCACAATATCAGATTTAATATATACTTATTGAAACGTGGTTTGAGACCTTGGAAAATCCTCATCTATCAAAGTATTATAGTTTCGTATTGCAATGATTAGTGAATAACAACATATATTCTTTGTTCTTTCTTCACAGTCTCAACTCTATTTCTACAATAAGTTGAACTCAACGAACATCAGTTATCTGTTATACGTTTCTCAAGCATGTCATCAAAGTACAAGACAAAAATTAATATCCTTCAGCTTGGAATTTTGTCATGTTTCAACTGTACTCATGAATCTTATACTCTGCACTATACCTTCTTCCACTACATTGGCCTTTGTTTTACTCCATGCATGGATTTATAATCAGCATACAACTTCTTTTATCTTTCATCACATTCTCTTGCACTTGTTCAACAGCAAAAAAAACAGCAACAACAAAAAAACGTAAAATGAAATTTTGCCAAAACGCTATGATATCAATTGTCAAAAGTAATTTACACAAAAGCACAAGAATACACACGAGAAGATTGACGTGTTTTGTAACTCGATTAAGTCCACGTGAATACGAATTTTACTGATAATGTCCAAGCTAAGGCGACAAGCTACCGTGAGTTACAACCTAACACCAATATAGATAGCAATCAATATCAAAATTCAGGGTTTTCTCATGTAGAATTGCGCCTGGTGTGCAAAGTTTTTGGCAAGATGTAAAGTACTTTACGAGTGCACACTAAATGTTCAACAAAGACTTTTCAGAAGTGTGAAATAATTTAAAAAAAAAATTAGATCAATTTTAGATTGCAAAAACATTTTGCTGGCCTGATATGCTACAATTCCTTTAAAAAAAATATTTGAGTTTTAGAAAAAACAAATGAAGCGTCTTATCTCAAATTTTAATATAAAAAGAAATTTGAATGTCAGTTTGATGTAATCTTCGACAATATTCTCAAAGAATTCTCATGAATTCTTTGCAATGATTATTTTTTCATTATGGATTATCAAGACAGTGTATATGGTCATTCAAATTATCAAAATTCTATAATGCAGAGTTTGTGACAAATTGTAATGACTCCTTCAACTACTTTCTTAGAAATTTTATGAACAATTAAACTTATTAATATATTTTTATCTCTAAGTGTTTATCTTGTGCATCAATCATTGAGTTATTCAATGTATTGATATATTTTAATTATTAGTAAATTCTTGATGTATGTAACTTTATATATAAGTTCATCACAATTTTAATTTATTTATGTAAGTCTTTTCAGATAAAAAATTTAAATTAAATTCTAAAAATTTAGGAAATTTTTTTGAAGAAATTGTGTTTACAATTTTATACTATATCCATGATAATCAATGCAAGCTTTCAAATTTTAATGCATTTATCAAATTCAAGTTACAATTTTACTTCAAAAGATAACATAACAAACAAAGTACATGATTTGAAGTTTTTTCTGAATCAATATTTGTAAATATTTACAATAATCTTAAAATTAACCAAAAAATAATTTTAAAATTCAATTATTTCTCCAATCTTATTTTTTAATTTTTTTCCCATTTTTTCATATTTTTTATTAAAAATATTTGGTCTCATATTAAATTATACAATTGCAGTTTTCATCTCATCATTTTCTTTTCAAATATGTTTCAAATTGATCATCCACATTCATTCATTTTATCTTTGAGTGCCAAAGTTGTTGTCATTCAATTCACTAAATTATGCTCTTTACTTCTAGAATTATTTCGATCAAATTTTTTTAATTTTTAGTTTTTTATCATTTTTCAATCAAATTTTATTTTTTTCATTCTTCACTGTTTTTGTTCACTGTACATCTTCATTTGAGTTTATATCAAACTCAAATTTGAGATTTGGTGTCCTTGGCACTTTTAATTTTTTTCAATTTCATGATTTGGCATTTGAGGTCACTAAGACTTTGCCTTGTCAAAGTTTTGAATAAGAGTGGGAAATCAAGGAGAAAATTCAAATCTTGAACACAACAAATTAACGAGAGAATTTAACTAAACCTTTATAAGAATACGTAGCATTTACAATAGAGGGTATGTCGCCCTTTTTTCACAAGAGAGATAATCCATGTACTTTGGGTAGCTAATGGGGTTCTCTATAATTTTAAGAGTCGCCAGTTCAACGAAAGAGTAACTGGGGAGATAATTAAGGTAAAATTATCAGCCCCCCAGTTACTCTTCCGTTGAACTGGCGGGACCTGTGATACAGTCTCAGTAGACTCTTCTTCAAAACTGCCTGGCAGCATACTACCTTCAAGATTTGACAAATTGACTTCCGATTCGAGCTTCATGTGACTTTCTCATAATGGCCTAAAAGAGGACATCATCACACTTAAGTGCACACTACACGTGCAACTGTGTAAATATCCGAGTTCGATCGAAATTGGACCCAACTACAATCCCTGGAAAGAATTATTCTGGGCAATGGAGCCTTCTAATTCAAGAGCTTCAAAGCTCCTGTCTGCCGCCGATGAAGTGGAGAATCAAAGTAATAGAGGCCTTGGAGAATGCCATACGACAACTTCTATGCTACACACGCGAGATTTACACATCAGGCATTTCTTTCTGCGATCAAGTAATTCCTCATGAAGGATTCCACAAACGCTAGTGCTTGTACCAGAATCTGGTATAACCACTAGTGTTTGTGGAATCCTTCCTGAGAAATTACTTGATCGCAGGCTTCGCCCCGATCGCCTCTACATCGAGACTCGGGAATGCTGGAACATGGAGTGTGCTGAGGCTGCGATGCTCTTAGATTTGCAAGGTCCAATCAGTTTTCGGCCTTCGGCCCATGCGCTTCTAGGTAAGAGGCCATGGGATGAGTTTGGCCTGCATGAATTCATACGAGACATGTGGATCCATCCAGTTCCACAACTTGTGTGCTGAAATGGGCCGGATCTGGTAGATCTCAATCGAAACCAAATGTGCACAAGGAAACAGATGGAACGACTCCGTCTCTCCCCGTCTCACGGAAGAATACCACTTCTTCTGATTCTCATCGACGCTTCCGTGGATTGCTTTCCTGAAGTGTGAGAGAAACTTCGAGCAGATGAAGTCATATTTGTTGACATAGAGATACGGAGACCAATTGGCTTCGGCCAGTGTCTTGAACTCGGCTAATGCTTGCCTTCTCCTTTCGATGTCGACCGCTGCATCGGTAACTACATGATGAAGAAATTTCTTCCCGAGGCGCTTACCAGCGTGCAAGAGTTTTTCACCCTTGCCTGGAAATGCCTCGATTGCATGTTTCACAACATGTGAACAGGTGCGCGCCATCGATTCCAGAGTGGCGAACGGAGGATTGAAGAAGTGGCCCTCGACCAGACAGCCCTGCAGTGCCAGCCTTCGACAGACCAGCAAGCCCGCTGCGGCCCCGAGTGAATGACCCGTCACGTTCACGTTGCAGTACCCATGTTGCGCCCCGAGACGGCAGACCACCGCCTGCAGCAGTGGGATCATATTTGACGAGTGCAGTTTCTCCACCACGATCTTGTAATCGTTTAGAAGATCCGCCAAAGCCTTGATATGGGTTCCCCGGATGGCGACTACCCAGTCTGGAGCCTCGGCTGAAGGACTGCCCTCATTTCGTCGGAAGACACCGAAGTACTTGTTCTCACGCTCATTCTTCAGTTCTGCACAACCATAAGTTGTTTGCCGCAGTCAAGCAAGGTCGGATTCAGATCGGGTTCAGGTTGAGATGGATCATGTGAGTCCGATACAACACGCACCTGTTTTATAGAGATTGAGCTCGTCCGTAGTCAATACTGACTCCAACGGGACCAGATGATAGTGCACCTTGGTCCACCATTCCTGGTATTCTTTTACAGGTTTGCCTTTGAACCTGTCGTACATCGCATAGACCAGCCTTCCGAGGATGACACGTTTCCTGATCTTCAGCACTCTTGCGTCACTGTCATGATCATGAGCCGACATTGAGCTTGATCAGTTATACCATATCTTCGACGCTAAACTTTCTGGCCTTCTTCTAATACACGTAACAAAATCTCATGGCTATGAAACGAAGATTAGTACAGGCAATATCGGAACTCAGAGTCTAGCCAGTCTTCTTACTCTTGCTGATCGTTTGTGGGGAAGATCAGTTGTGGATCGTTCTTCTTTGCTTGCTTCTCCTTCTTATTATTATAAACTTTGTACGCCCCATAGACCATCCCAGCACCCAAAAAACCAATAGTTTCCATGGTCTGGTCTCTGAAAAGGAAACGAAGCTGTCAATTATGATCATGCTCTAGGTGGCAGCTCACTAGGTCCCCAGCTTACTTCCGCAATTGAGTAATTTCTCCTTGCGGGGCCATGTATTCCCTTCTCTTCAACCTTCGAACAACTTAGAGCCATGGTAACCACTCATCGAAGAATTCCTCGTCGTTTAAACCTCGTGCCAAAGTGATAGGGATGGTCGGGAATCGTCATGAGCGAGAGGCGTCTAGACACAATCCCCGTACAAAGACGTACTCTTGCTCCGCTCAGACCCAAGCCTGCTCGCTCACCCCACACCATGAAGCCACTGCCATTGCAACCGGCTTGTGAGCTGATTAATACTCAAACGCTCAGGCTCAGCTTCGAATGTATATTATCACCTGCCAGCCAGCTGCATTCTCAACCGTGATCACTGCTGCATGCTTGCCTTCGGTGTTTCTAGGATCGGTTCGGTGCCTTGGGTGGAATTGACCTTCGGTAGCTTTGACCTTCTGTCGTTCGTCCAATCATCCCCGGAGCTGGTGTCAAGTTTGCATGGTAATTGAGTGTCATCTGAGTCTTCTCAGAGGCGCTGGATCTACCGATTGCCTTGAAGACCGACGAGGCTATCAAGCGTACTTATCCGTCCGACAGTCAAACCTTCTCATGTTACCACCCGTTCCAGCGCCTGGAGCCTCGCAGAGAGCGTTGATGCTTGCACACATTTGCTTTTCGTTTAATTGCGGCGTTCGTAAATATTCTGGTAAATGGTATCGATCTTCAACTTGGAACAGTACTTCAAGTTGGAGTCGGTATTGCCCGTCTTTATGATCTTGATGAGTTTACTGGCGATCATATATCCAATCTGTGGAGGTAGATAATCTGTTGACGTCAGATACTTGTCATACTTCAAGACCTTGTCAATGACCGCTTGTTTCATGACTCTCTTGACCAAATTAATGCTTGTTTTCCCGTGTACATTCATTTCAGAATGAGTTTAAGCTGCTAAGATTTCAAATATTTCTCTATTTCGCATATCAAGGAAACTGGACAATCAGTCTAGTAGCTCACAGGCAGTAACTGCGTGTACAAGTTTCCAGCACGTTACAAAACCCGTAGCAGCTGTCCAAGTTATCCAGTCCTTCCTATCTGTACCATACCATACTCAGTATACCCGATGATGGAGGAACGGAGCCCATATATTAGTCCAAGCATTGTGCTTTTGTATCTATGGACTTTGAGTCATAGGCAACCATCAATCAGAAATTATTCCATGCTTGCGACCATGTGAACTTCGTGGTTCAACTGGGTCAATGTGTAGAGTCTGCTCCTGCTTTGGCTTAGATTCTTTATCATAAATTCATCACTTTTTCCTCCCGATATCAGCCCGAGCAAGAGCTGCTACTGAGCGACCAAACAAGCAGTCAATTTGATCCAAAAGAGGTCAATCAGAAATCAGTCCATGCTTGCGACCATGTGAGCTTCGTGGTTCAGTTGTGTCCATGTCTAAAGTCTGCTCCTGCTTTGGCTTAGATTCTATATCAAAATTCATCGCTTTTTCCTCCCTAATTCATCGCGAGCAAGAGCTACTACTGAGCGACCAAACAAGTAGTCAATTCGATCCAAGAGAAATTATTTTGCATACTTATCTCTATTTTCAGCATTCAGTTTCATACAACTTTCATCCACATTAAAATACAAGTCGGATCAAAATCCATGCGATCAAAAGTCGACTCAGCAGATTCACTTCAATAAAATTTTATTGTAGTTCCAGTGTGGATATGGTAATATATGACTCTGAAAGCTGCTGCTCTGTATACACTTGAGCGAAGTCGTCACTATTTCTGTGTCCCAGTCATTCTGAGCAATGGGACTTTGATGAGGTTGAGATTTCTTATCAATGCCAAAAGTGCTGATAATACCCGACGGCCCTGAACACACTGACAATATTGAGTGTCTACTTGTATGACTGTGCTGGAAAGCTACTTGACCCCGATTTCGTGGGTACCCCCCAAGGTATATTCACTGTTTAGTTGCACTAGTTCTCTACACGCCAACATGAGAAATAGCTCGTGACAGAAGGTTCAACTCCTGCCCAACGAATCGAGTGGCATAAAAGTCCACGAAAGATACAATGCAGAATCTTTCTAGAAGTTGAAATTAAAGTATAACAGAAAAAAGGTAAAAGGTGATACTGCAGATTTTGCGCTTACTCAGCTTTGAAGTCGAAAAAAAAAAACAGAAAACGAAGCTGACAATCTTTACATCCTGATGAAGAAGTCCATATTCCGACACTTGTTATGGTTTAACTCATTTGAGCTCAAGTAGCGAAGAATGTTCAGCTCTTGTTGAGCTTGACAAAGTCCACTGTTCGCATCAATTAAAACACTGAGCTCGCGTGCTGTCTGAAATCACAAGGTTTCCCCATGCTCATACGTCGAAGCTTCTGAAGGGAGGGGCGGAAGCTCCTGTTTTCGAAAGCTTGTTTATCGGCCGCAAGGGGTGGACATTATTTGGAGCCGGAGCGGAGGACATCATAGCAGTGGGGGTACAAAAATAGAATTTTATGAATTTCGTGTTAAACATAGCTTGTATATTGGAGGAAATTACTTCATGGGACCCCTCTGGAACAATTACTTTGCTCGGACCCCACAAGTATCGTTCTAACTTATGGGACCCGTCCAGGTCACACCGTCCAATTATTCTATAATATAGAACGACTTCTTGGGAGCGGGCAGTGAGACAACCCCATAGAGAGTAACGAGGAACTAGAGGAGCAGGGCTGAGGAGAGGCCGCCGGACGCTTGGGGAGTCATGTGGATGAATCCAACATGTGATTTTGAGCTGGAAGTGTAGGTGGTTAGTCTAAAACTTCCAGCATCGATTCTTTGAGCATAATTTGATAATAAAACAAATGTATGATGCATTAAAAAGCTAAAGAGCCGAGAGACAATCTCCAAGAATTACTCGATAAATCTAATTCATGGCAAACTGACAGGAACGTAGCCCCTTGCATAGGTTTCAGGAGCGGTCACTTTGGAGTTGCAATCACTCGGTGATAGTGCAATCTGCAGTCACTCCCCCACACACACTATAGTAACACTAATTTTCTTCAAACGGTGTTCGATACGGAGAAAGTATACTTGTTGGATGTCACTAAGCTATTTGTGTTTCATAGGAATAACATCAAATAATTTAATCTTGTATATTGGGAACAAGAATAACTATTTGAGGAGATTTTCCAATTCTTAGGTAAGATTATCTCACGAACTCCGTGTACTGTACTAGAAATTGAAGAGGGATGATGGTGTAATATTGATAGAAGTTGACATCTTCTTAAATTACGAGAAAGAAAAAATATTGAATATGAAATGTTTGTTACATGCACAGGGTATATGAGATTAGGCTTTGGATGATCTCGAAGATTTCCTTTTGATGGTCGAGCGGGAGTGCAAAATTGCGGGAGCTTCAATCGAGATCCAACGCCAAAACGTGCCTAGATTGCTCACAGGAGAATCCACGTACTTTTGGTGACTAGGCTAAGGAAACAGCCGGGGTAGCAGTGGAGTGTAGCAGGTCTTGGTTGGATATTTCGTGCGACGGCGAAGAGAAGAGTGTCGCCATGATGCACGCAAAGAGAGCTTGAGGTCCAGTGGTCGGATCGTCAGAGGAATTTTTCCCTCTCGTGCTCTTGAATGTTTTTCCAAAGCAGACGAGGCGAGACCTCGGGCCCTCGAAGACGATGGGCGGACGTGTCTCCGTGAGCGAGTTTGTCCGAGATTAGGTAAGCGGGTCCATTAATCGGCCTCTGCCGGAGGTTTTCTCACAGGCGTAGCTCTTGGAAGAAAACGGACAGTAGCCATGCAGGCTCTTCAGAAGCTGCGGCAGCTGGATGCCTTCCCCAAGATCAACGTAGACTTTTACAATCGAACGCTTTCTAGCGGTGTGATTACCATTGTCTCCAGCATCGTCATGTTGTCTCTCATAATTACCGAATTGAGGAGGTTAGGGATTTCGAGTTGCAGATGGATGGACGCCGGAAAAGAGTGGAAGAGGCAGAGAAGACCATTCAGGATTTGACGCATTCGTTCGCGAATAATATACAACAAGCTAGGCAGGCAGAGATTGTAATAGAGATGGTGAAGAAGGCTTATCTGGAGAAAAAGAGGGAGAGCCAAAAGCTCAGCAAGCGAGCAAGTTGAGAGACTAGACAGCGTTGTAAAGATCACGAAAGCAGCATTCAGGGACTCCAGTTAGACCTAAAAAAGGACTACCAAATCGGCTCCAAACAGAAAGACGGGACCTTCATGGTCGTGAGGAAGGAGTTGGAAAGGTTGAGCGAATTGAGAAGTGATTACGCTCGGAGTTGGAGTCTTTGAGAGTTGAGGCTATCAACTTGAGAACCTACAATGGGAAGTACTTATCAGGATCTGAAAGCTGACGTTGCCAGCCTCAAACTGAGAACTACGGAATTACAAGACAAGAATAATTCCTTGTCATCCAATCTAAAACAAACCCTTATTTAAAGGTAAGGCGCGAAGAAAGCTCTAACGGCAATGAAATTGACTATGTCCGGCATCGGGAAGGAGAATAAAACTCTCTAGTAGTAGATCTCACGGGAGAAAAAGAATATTCAGGAGAGTAAAGTAGATGGTTTGTTGAAAAACAACCTAATGCTTCAAAATATTCTAGCAATGAGAAAAGTCTGCCCTGGTGTGTGATGAAGAGGTCAAGGAGAAGGAAAAGGTTGTGAAAGATGACCAATGGATAGAGTTGGAAATCCGCGAGAGCTTGCAGGTCTCTGCAAGGCAGTTGTGTTACAAGAAGGAAAGAGCTCATGAACAACAAGCTGCAGGAGAAAGATACACAATTGTCTTCACTAAAAAGTGAATGCGTCAAGAAGTATGAGGTTGTTCGTGGTTTTGAGCAGAGTCTTGGAGATTTTGGATGCACAAAATAGGCACATCATACAGCTTACGAGTAGAAACAAAGAGTTTGTAAGACTATATCATTCCAAAAGCAAGGAGATTGAAGACTTGCACTCCAAGATGATCGAACATACTCACAACAAATGACTAAGTTGTCAGGAAATCCATCATATGTCAAAGACGTCAAGCAAGAGTTTGAAGCGTAGAATCTGCTTTGTGAACTCCTGAAAGAAAAGCTTGTTCAAAGGGAGGATGATCTGAAGAACGAAAGAAGAAGTGATATCTCTGGTACAAAGTCGTTATTGGTTGCAAATAGAATTGAACATAGTACAAAGAGCACTTGCACAAGCTTCTCATCAATTTGCTAGCTTAGAAGAAGTCTTGCACAAAAGGAGTACCATTTGTTTTTTTGCGGGGTGAGAAGAAGGATAACTTGAAAGAGCTTGTGAAATGAAGGTAAGAATTGCCTCGAGCAAAACATGATAGAGATCAGATTCAAGAA